TGTTTGGGTTGCTGTCAGAATGTGATCATCCATTTTGCATATCCTGTATTAGAGATTGGAGTAGCAGTTCCCCCTTCTCTAGAATGGATGTCAATAATGCATTGAGGTGGTTAAGGGCATTTGATTAACCAAATATAGTAGTTTTTTTTCTCTATATTGACAGACAATCAGGAGTACTTTTGTTATTTGTATCATTCTAACATGTCAGATCGGTTTGACATGCCCAATGCTATATCAACTCGATACTATTTTTATCGTCCTCTGATGTTCCCTACAGCTTACCTATAAATGTAAAGGTCCAGCACCATTAAGAGAGGTCCATTCAACTCCTTTTCTCTCCTTTCTACTTCCTTTTCGATTTGAATCTTTTTGATTTGCGCATCGAAATGCAAATGCAGGAAATACATCCTACTTTTACCTTTAGCCGCCCTTCTCTTCTGCCTTTCCAGAAACACCCGGAGGTTGGAGCTCGGCACAAACAGAGGTCTTTGCCCAAACCGTCGCAAGTTATCATACTTTGTCATTCCCAGTGTCATTTGGTATTGCACTCCAGAAGACAAGCAGGAATTGCAGATAGCTACAAGGCAAAATTGAGGTAATTTTACTGCAGTTTCAATGTTTCTTATATTTCGTGCTTACATTACATGTATTACGATTTTATGTTTCTCAAAAGTATATATACAATTGAAGGATTGCTTGGATGATCTGTAATATCTGTCTCATGGTGTATAATATTTTTATGGTTTGATGAGCGTGTCATTTTAGTGAATGCTGAACTTAAGATCTGTAAATTTGTGAGGCAGCTTTGATTTTCTAACTAATAAATCCATTTTTATATTGTTTTTTGCACCTTGCAGGTCAATTGATTGCAAGTACTTCAACGTTGGAAATAGGAACTGTCCTTTCGGGACTAGTTGTTTTTACAAGGTAAATTCATTGTCTATTTATTCAGCTCACTGTAAAATGTAGAAGTTCCTTTTTCTGTTTCTCCAGTTGTGCTTTCCTGTCCTTTTGTGGTGCTTCCTCGCCCTTTCTCTCCTTGTGTCACCATGTTCTATTGTAGCTCGATCTTTAAGCAGTTTTTAGCTGAATCTCAACCAGGATATCAAACAATTTGGACTTTTATCTGAAGAGGTGGTTTAGAGTTGGTTTGGAGGTGGAATTAGCTCATTTATTCCTACGCATTAGATCATTTGTCTATGAATTTTGGATTTAGGGCGGTGATCTAAGGATAACATTGGGAAGTTGTTTAGAATTTTTTTTTTTTTTGGGGGGGGGGGGAGGGATGGGGTGGGGTTTAGGCTTCATTTGGATTCACTCACAGCATCAGTGCGAGGAGAATTTTTACATTTTTGGTGCAATCGCACCATTTCATTTCGTTTGGATGTTCATTAGTGCAGTGTGATTGAGCTCCTCTACTGCACTGGATCAATAATTCTCCACTGGTAAAAAAATGGTCCAGTGAGCCACTGAACTGGACCATTTACTAAAATACCATCATTTTTTTTATTTTGTATTTATATTTAAATTAATTAATGTTTTATATTTTACTTGTTTAATATTATTTTATTAAATTTTAATTGATATAAATATATTATTATCAATTTTAAAAATATATATTATTTGACTTAAAAATAATTTTTAATCATTTATTAATTTTATAAATGTCAAATAATTTCAAAATTTTTATTTTATATAAATTTTAATTTAATGTTTTTAATGATCTTTTTTTATCTCATTATAAATCACTTCATCGTCCTTGCTGCGTTTAAATCCAAACACTTATCTCACTATAAATTTTAATCTCAACGTTATAGTGATTAAATTCACTGTTATCACTATTATCAATCTCACTGGAGTTAATCTCACCATCAATAGAAATAGACCTTTAGAATTTAGATTTGTATGTCACAGTGCCATTTCCTTGTTAGTCTGTATGATCTGAAGATGTTTACGGTAGATACTCAAAATCGCTTTTACTTTATTCTTCCCTTGCTATCTTGTACATTTATATGCCATTTTCTGTAGTCATAGAGAGTGTTAGTTTTTACGACTCCTTTAATGGATACACTTGTGTTGTCTTCGAGCATACAGTCAAGCCAGGTTCGTATGCATGGAAGGAAATACCACAGGCCACCTCCTCGCAGATTCAATGTTATAGATATGGACGCAATTTTTGATGTCTTGGAGACTTAATTGCAGAAGATGAAATGAATATTTTTGATGCTGAAGATTTTGGAAATGATGATTTAACATCTATGGAGATGGCCTTGTTATTATCCTCAAGCACTGGGGAGAATTTTCTCTATTAAGTTCCTAAATTTAGTTGTCATACTCCATTCTGAGGGAATTTTGGAAATGTGATCATGTTGGTGCTTCGATAGGCTCCCACCTTTTTTTCTCTGGGAGAAGATTGATCTTGGAGTTTGTTAACTTGGTCATTTCAGATTGTGTCATGTTAAGTCTTAAGACATTGTTACTTATTATTGAAATCTAGATTAAGTATCTAGAGTTTGAAGCACTTTTCTTCATGGTTTACATTAGTCTGAGGCCTTCAATGTGGTGGATATTAATGTGTAAAGGAATTGCATTGGTTTCAATCCTGGAATTTGTGTAACTATTCTTTAGAGGGTTTTATTCCTCAAGCCCCCCTAGTGGTGCATGCGTGTATGTTCAAAAATCAAAAGGTTTTCTATGTTAGCCTATATTTCAAATTGGCATATTTCTCCTTCTAGCATCCTTGTTTGCAATGTATGTCATCCAAATATGCTTGAAGAATGTCTGTTCAAGTATTAACCCTGCATCTTTAGCATTCTATTAATGCTGTACTTTCAATGTGGGCAAAATTTTGTTTAGTGTATGTCCATGGATGTTCTGTATTTGTAGCATGCGTATCCAGACGGTTGGTTGAAGTAGTTCTGTGCCATCTTGGAGCACACCATCATAGCTAAGAACATTAGGTACTCTCTGTGCCATTTTTGTTTATATAGACTTGGCCAATAGAACAAAAGCAAAACCTTCTCGTTTGTCATTCTGTCTGCTATCTGGCCGGTGATTTCAGGTTGTCAGACTTTCTTAGTGACTTGCACGTTTAGTGAATGTTCACAATATTTATTACAGCGAGTTCCATCTTTGACTCTGCTTTTCTTTTTCTTCTCACCTACTTCTGTTATCTGATACATTAGTTGTACATTTAGAGTCCTGGGGCTTGTTCTCCAGTTGGCTCCCTCCATGTGGTAGACCTCAAGATCTTGATTGCTGTAACGCTCTTATTACGCATACGAGTCCTTGCAAATTCTTCAGTTCTGCTCCAATATTGCCCTATTTGTTTCAATACATTTTGATGCATGCAGGATATATCTACATAATGCAAGGACCTATATGCAGCTTTGGTGAGAAACCGTTTTCTTCAGTTTCTAGTGTTGCACTCCATTCGAAAAGGTAATATCTAATGTGCATCAATCTCTAGGTTACTGTTACGCACCTGTGTGTATGGTAGCTATACAATTGTAAAGATGTATTTAACCAAAACGCAGGATTGGTGATTGGAGAAACCAAGCTTGGAATCATGGGGCATACTGGGTTATGCAATAAACTGCATCATATATTTGGAGAAAATGTTGATTGATGGATAATATTTGTTGAAGGTTTGGAATTCAACGTAGCCAATGGCTATCATGGCATTGTTTATGCTTCATGCTTCCCTAATGGGTGAGAAACTTAGAATTCGCTATGATCTGTGGCAGTGTTTCAGATGCATAAAGCAGCGTTGGTGAGGTTTTTGTGTTGAATATCAGTTTCTGTGCTTGATCCTGTAATACGCTGGATGTTGTGTACACATTGTTATGGAATATGAATACAAGCAATTCGTTATCTTATACTGCATACGAATACATACATTATATAAATATACATATGAATACATCCCTTTATTCACCGTGTATCGATGTATAGACAGAGATAGAACGAACCAACAAACAAATAATAATCTAAACGAATAGGAATAAAATCTCCGACTCAACTCATCTCAATAAAAAATGTATGTGTATAAATCCCATCAACAAAACATAGAAATATAGTAGTATGTATGTATAAACAAATAAACCCAATGCCCCAACTGGAGCCGCCAGGGGAAAAATATTCCATATCTAATTGTTAATCAATGCCTCAAAAGAGCAAGCACAGACAACAAGAGCGAGGAGCAAATGATGGCCCCAGACATCCCATTCCCAAGAGAATTGGCAGCTCCCTTGTCCATGGATGGGGCTGGTGCCAGTGCGGCCTCAAAATCTTGAGCTGAAACAATGGCAGCTAAAATCGCAATCACAAGAACAGCAGCGAAAGCTTTGGAAGCAGCCATTGTCAAAGATGTATGTATCTGTCTCTCCGATACCCAAAAACACCAGCAAAAGAAGAGGCTCTGAGACTCCGAAGTCCTCACTTGGGTTGATATTGATTTCCAAGGAAGGTATTTATAGGGTGAAAAAAGCGTGTGGAGCCCGCAAAAAACGTGGACAGCTGGTGGCGCTAAGGGGCCACGTGGACAGTTCAAGTCCAGGAAGGAAACGGCTGGTGGTTGTGATTGGGCGGTCAAATTATCACTTTTTCTTTTTCTTTGTTGAGACGTTTCTTCTAGGCTTCATTACTGTAGTGAGTAGGCTTATTATCATGTCCGCGTCTGGTAGAGGGTGAATGTGAAGTGAACAATACGTGGTTTAAAACTGGTAAGCTACCTGTCCTTACTTCACGTCACGTCACGTCATGAGCTTTGAAAATGGGAGTTTCAACAAGAAGGGAAAAAAAAAAAAAAGAGCAAAGTCGGTTGGGTGCTTCATTCGTGGCCCAGTCATGAATCTCCATGTGCATGCTTCACAAAGATGGAAATGTGTTTCCTCACGTATTGTTATGTGGTCCGATTTGTCAATCCACCATAGCGCTGCTAACTTCTAAGTGTCAGCCCTTGGGTCAATCTGGGCACTGTAAAATGGGCTAAGCTCAGTTCTGAAATAAAGAATGTGAATATGTCATCCAAATCACTAGGCCCAAGACACTGTCATTTGTTGATTATTGCTTTCTTTTCCCCCTGTAGAATTAATGTACGTATAAATTATTGTTGCCTCAAATGACACAGTTTCAGCCGCATTCCTAGCACCATCATCAGATTGACATGCATAAATAATAATAGTATAATAGTGATAACAATGGTGTAAAAGCAAAACAAAAGCCAAATCCCCGCTTTTAGTACGTTGCTGGCCCGCAAGAGATATAGTTTGTGGTTGTGCTGAAACATGAAAATCTATGAGACGAGATATTGGTTTGCATAAATTGGATTCGGCTAATAATTTTGTTCCACCAGACTCGGTCAAAACGGAAGACTTCTTCAGTCGTAAAATAGGGTAAAAAGTAAAAACAAATAACTTGGTCCACCTAAAATAGGGTAAAAAAAATGAAATTGTAATTTACTAAATATGGATTAATTTTGCACTATATAAACCATTCACCACCCTCCCATGTTCTTCAAGTCGGCTGCAAAGTGTCAAGTGCAAACTCCAATTTAAAGGCGTGTTTGGTGAATAATTTGCTTTTGTTATTCACAGTTTAATCTCGCCAATCACGCCATATAATGGAGATGAAGAAGGCTGCCTGTGCTATCCTATTTGCTGCCGCCTCAATCAGTACGGTGATGGCTGATGTTGCTGCTCCTGCTCCTGCTCCAACCGCTACCGGTGATGCCTCCGCTAGCTTGTCAGTTGTTGGATCAATTGTTGGTGCCTCAGCTGTGTCACTCATCGCCTATTTCTTGCAATAAAACAAAAAAAGAAAGATCATAAATGGTCTGAACTAAGAAGGGAGGGGAATAAGATTCATCATCATCATAACTATGAGCTAGCTGTTGATGAAGTTTTTTTTTATTATTATTATTTTGTTTTTTTGAGAATTTCTCATCTTTTTTCAATTGCTTTTGTTTGCTAATTATGTGAATAATCTTTTACACCAAAGCAATAAAAGAACCTTCCTTCAGGTGCATATTAGATGCTTATGGCTTTGTGGACGCAGGTTCAATGTGAGCAGATAAATTTGCTGCCCGATCAACAGATAACCTAATTTCTACTGAAGCTAAGGTTACAAAATCTCTAAAAAAAAACCTTTACCAACTTAACTGCGAAAAATACATATAAACTTGACAATTCATGTATTTATATCATATAAAATATTGATAATTTATGTATTTATATTATATTTTATACATAAATTACATGTTGATAAAAAAAATATAAAATATATTTTTTATTATTTTGTTAAACCTAAACGTAATTTTTATTAAAATTTTTAAATTATATTATATTCATTTTTTTTATTTATATTATTTTTATATCATATCACATCAAAACTAAATATATTATAAGAATTTAGATAGCAGAAATATCGTGACTTCTTTTTTGTAAGGGTCAATTTCACCTTACAATTTGAGACCTCCTTGACCGAAAAAAAGAAAGGTGAACCAATAGCCCAAACCCAACGCTCGGATTCTCTTTTCTTGGGCTAACCCAATTGCAGACCCAATCAAGTCAGGCCTTTCTCACAAATTTGGTTTAAATAGCTGACTAGCCCTTTTTCCCAGTGGACACCGGAGAAAGCTGCTGAGTAAAACTGCTAGCCGCAAACGCTGTGGGAAGCAGTGGTGTTTATTTTTTTTATTTGGGGACACGAAAATTGCGACGATGATCTCTCGCAGTCGAACGCTCATCTCGAAGCTCCCCATACGCTGCGATTCCTCTTCGTTTTCTTCTATTTTTTTCATATCTCGCCAACCCCAAAACCCTCTGCATCCTAAACCCTTAAACCCCAATTTCACTTTCACAACTTTCCTTCCAACCCAATCCGATCACTTTCGCTCACTCCCAAACCAAAAACGAATTACTCCTGAGATCAATTTTGTTAGATCATTCTCAAGTTCTTGTACCAAATCCAACGTCCGTAATTTCAACTGTTCTTCAATTGACAGAACCCGAAACCCCATCCATGATATACTTGGTCAAAAGTCCATAACTGCAGATCTTGATTTGATAAGATCATATGCGAGTTTGAGTACCAATAGGAACAGTCCTTGCTCTAAGTGGGTCTCGGAGCACAGCCCTAGATATCTTTCAACTTCTAGCACAAAAGCTGACACTGAGAAGCCAGCGAAAGCTAGTGAATATCCGAGTCAAAACCCAGATTTCAAGCACCAAGAAATCGAGGGGCCAACTGTAGAACGTGATTTATCTGCGTTGGCTAACGAGACAAGAGAGGCTCTTGAAGGAATGATGAAGAATATGTATGGACTTAGTAAAGCAGTGGCTATTCTTGGTTTGGTCCACCTGGGTCTAGGAGCTTGGGTATCGTATATTTCTGCATCACACACAATAAGTGAGGTTTCAGTTCAAAGTATCCTGGCATTTGGGTTCCCTTTTACACTGGCGTTTATGTTGCGACAATCACTGAAGCCCATGGACTTCTTCAATAAGATGGAGAAGCAAGGTAGGCTACAGATTCTGACTCTTACTCTTCAGGTTGTGAAGAATTTGAGTATTTTCTTTGTTCGGGTGCGAGGGGTTTCTTTCTTGTGTATTGCAGGGATGTTGATTGGGTTGCTGTTCAATGTTTTGTCCAAGTGAAGCTTAATTTTAAGTTTTGATATTTGAGTTTTCATAGAATCTATGTGTTTTTGGATTATCATTAAGTTGAAATTAAAACATCTTGAATGAGAATAATTTTTTCAAGGGAAAAGAAGTATTCTTTTTCATTGCTATGTTACAACATCTGTGTGGAGTTATTCAGAGTGTGTGTGATCATTAGCTGCTCAGATGATGATTGTTAGTGAGATGACATGGAGATTTGATTAACAAACAGAGCTTGATACGTTACATGGAGAAACATGCGGCCTCTTTGGCCCTCTAATTAATCTGGATTGAACCATAAAATCGAAAAAGAAACCACTCGCTTGAAATTGAGATTTGAACGAAGGCCTTCCAAAGGTTACACATTGTCCAAATGCGTACATTAGAACCACGAGACTCGGTTTTGGCCATACCTAGGCTGGTATCAAACTAACTACAATTGCCTAGGGAATCCAATTCACATGATTACAATGAAAAAACAAAAAAGAACACTGCAATCCTAGTCATGGTGTAATCTGGAGCACCTAATTTCTTATACAAGAAAAGAACACTGTCAACAATGGCATATTAAAGAATGAGAAAATGAACCAGAAAGGAGTTGCCACCGATTTCTTTCATCTTCTTTTCCCACCTAATGATCAAGTATGAATAATCTGCCTATTATCATGATGGAAGCAACTCAGAACACCCAGTAAAAAAAATCAAGAAACTAACACCAAATGATACAAATCTAGTAAACAAAATTTTCGTTCAGAAAAAGTACCAAAGAAAAAACCGTTTCCATGTTAAACCAAATGAGCAGAACTTGTTAATAGTTACGTGTAAATGCAAAGACTGCAAATTACTATGCACATTCGAGGCAAGCTCCTTTTTTTCCTTAACTTTCTTTTCTTTTCTTTTTTCACTTTTCCACTTTCTTTTATTTCTCCTTTTTTTTTTTTTTTCATTGCATAAAAATGAAAAGTCAAATAAAAATATAACATAAGCCCTTGAACAAAAGACAAACTACCCATCCACCCTATTAACAAATTTCAATCTAATGTATATATAACTCAGGGCCCGAACATTATTACCACTGTCCCTTGCTTCTTCCCAAATCAAAACAACTAGACTCCCCTAACAGACTCTCCCCATCCCCTTCAAAGAAATAAAAAAGAGAAGAAAATGCCTGGAATAACAAAATTGCTCACAGAAGACCAGTTTGCCACTTCTACATGCATCTCTACTCTAGACATGTCTCCAGGTATTGAACAATCATCACAATTCTAAAATAAAAGAATGGGTTGGTTTTATCTCCATCCTTTGATCCGTAAGATACTAGATGCAGTCAGTCATATTCAAACATTTCAACAAAAAGCGATGCAAGCCCGGAGCAGGAATGTGAGAAATGACATACTGAACTAGGAGCTAATGGCATTGCCCTCTGACTTATGCTCTGTTCGGACATAGGTCAGACTGCGGGCAGTGGGAAAAGAAACATTGTTCCTAGTGACTGAAGCACCAGCATCAGCTGGAGTGGCCTGAGCATCACGCTTCCACTGAAAACTTCTGGCACCATGTTTTAAAGGAAGCCGAGGCCTAAATGTATGTGGTATACCTCTGGCAAAAGGAGCTCTAGCAAACCTTGCAGCAGCAAATGGAGAGCCCCAGGCAATGCGGGGCCGTGTCATGACAGGATCAGCTTCTTGATGAGCAGTGCTTCTCTTCACAACCTTCAACAAGAAGGAAATCAAACAGTTTGATTTAGTTGCCTTATTTTTTGGAGCAACATACCAATATCCATGCTAATTTTAAAGAAAGAAATTGGCAGAGATACGAGTTCACCAAGCCTGAATCACACAGAACGCACCAGGTTTTCTAGATCTATTTAATTTAAACAATTCATGTTTCAGCAGTTCCAACCACACAGTCCAAAGTTTCAAGAAGAGCAACAAAATGAATTTTTACTTCGACATCCAGAAAACAGACAAGTGTTCTGGGGAATATAAAAGATGGTATATTCAAACTGGATGCATCTGTTGTCTCGGTAACCTTTCCTGCACTGAAATCTAATAGATTTTCCAAGAATTTTCACGCACCACTGACAAATCTAGTCAGCTTCTCCAAACACAGCCCAATGGATACAAGACACAACACACATTTTGGTCCAGCATAACATCAACATTGGATCAGGTCTTCTCATAGGCAGGAACTTCAAGGTGGCAATTTAGGAATAGAGACCATCAACTTTGCTTCAGGTCTGATTATATTATATTTATAAACTATTCAGTGACAGGTCATTAGGAACAACGTTGTGGCAACCACTGACCCCCAAAATACGAAATAAATAAAATAATTATTTTCCAGAAAAAGTTCCAGCTATCAAGCAACGCTAAAAATTTTACATCACTAGGTATGTAAGTCAAGATAGAGTTTCCCAGAGAGTGAAAGAGATAAGACAAAAACTCCCCCATAACCTAAAAATACAGCAATATCAATACGCATAGCAAGTTGCACAGAAAAAATCAATAAAAGGGAGGTTGAATAAAAGAACAGAGAAGAATGATTAAATACCTTAAGAATCCGTGACATGAACGAGGTACCATCCAGGGACAAAGCATTGTCTGCTGCTTCCTTACGCATGAACTCCACATAAGCTGACCTGTTTAGGCCTCAAATCTTAGCAAAAAGAGAATGGTTTCCCAGAGAAATGCAAAGAGAGGGAGAGAGAGAACAAATATTTCAAACACCCTACCCTTTTGGTCGTCTTGTTGCCGCATCTATAACTATAACAACTTTTAGCACTTCTCCAAACTTATTAAAATGCCGAGAAAGACTGTCCTTGGTAGCAGCAAAATGAACCTGCTTATCAATGGTGACAGCAGCATATATTGTCAAGACTGAGGAGTGAGACATACGATATTTCCAGACTAGAGAGATAATTTTGGTTTCTTACATTGCTGACAAAGATGGTTCGAGAATCAGCATCCTCTAAAGAATGACCAGCAGCATATGAAACTGCAAAAAGAAAATAGCAAAAAATAAAAGATAATGTTAAAAATGTAAGAAAAAAACCAACAGAGCAGAATGAAATACTTTAGTTCAGCAATTAAAAAAGAAAATAATTAACAGACACAAAAATATAGGCTGAAATACACAAGAGAATGCCTTGTCTAACACATGCAACGCCCAAATAATTAATCTTAACAACACAAGACAACTCACCAGAAGAAAACTGCACTGTATTCTGACACATTTCTTGAATATCAGCAGCCCTCTTTACCTATAAATTAACAATGACAATAAATTTAAACAGCCCAGAGAACATAATAAGGTGATGAGAATATAAATATGGGTCAGAACATCTTACATTTCCATTACCAACAGTAAAAGGGTTGTCATTCTCCTTGATCAATCTAATATTAGATTTGCTAGCTACTGCTTCATTCTCTGGAAGAGATTTTTGACTGAAAATTTCTGAAACCTCCCTTGGCTTTTGATAATGAGGTGGTTTCCAGGTATTTACATTAACAGAAATGTTGACTATCTTACGAAAAGTATTTGCTGCTGCAGTGGATTGATTGAGATCTTGGTTCGTTGTTATTTGCATCATTTCATCATCCTTAGCTACACCACATTGCACCATAAGTGAGTCATCATCCTTAATTCCACTAGATGTGCCAGTCTGAGACACATCCATAACTCCATGGCCAACAACATTAACATCATCACACTCTTCATTGTCAGACCCAGTTTCATTTTCTAATGCAGTTATGTAACCAACTTGTCCAGCATACTTGTCTCTTTGATGATAAGCTGATTGGGTTTTCTCCAAAGGTTGGTTAAGATCTCCATATTCTTCATCCTCAGTAAGAGATTCTCTTGATTCCGCATATTGGTCACGGGTCTCCAAAACATCCATTGCAGGACCAAGCCTGTCAAACACACTTCCAGCATTTTTAACCTTTGTCACATCTTCAGCAGCTTCAGCCACAGCTTTGATAACTGTTGCCAAAGGATTTGGCACTCTTGCAACAGACTGAATTCTCCTAGGAAAATCTGAAAATGATGAATCTCCAAAAGACGTTGACACCACAGATCGAAGGCGCTTGAATGAGGGCTCTTTTGATGAAATACATGCCTTTGAAGTTCCAACTGCATCTCGCACAGCAAACTGAAGCAGCCGCCTAGGGGCATCAATGGTCATCTGAGAAACTGCCTCCCTCTGTCAAAAGAGTTTATCCATGGATCAGAAAACTGTAGCCAAGCAAATGTGAAAAGGCATATATTGGCACAACATCAAACTGCTCCTATGCAATTTACACAAATATTTCATTAGGAAACAAACCCTTTCAAGTTCTTGTTAGAGCAAAGAAAAAAAGGCAATAAATGATTAATATGTGACCCTAAGGAATTAAGAAATTTATCCTTAAGACATCTGCTCTTAATCATTTCCATAAGGGATGATGCTTAGAGTCCCTCCGTTGTTATATTTTAACCAATGAATGGAGAATAACTTCCCCTCACTTATAGTAAATGTTACTCAACTAATCAAGGATATGGAACCTAGAAATTCAAACCTTTATAGGTTGTCTCTCATCAAGTCTGCTCCTTTTCTTCTGACTAGGACGGGGAGAGGTAGATCTTCCACGGCTTACTTTTTGACAGGATTTTTCCTCAAAACGAATATTCTCAACCTTCGAGCTCAGATGAGGAGGTGGTTCAGCAGCATCCCGAACTAGTCCCTTCCACTCCCTATTGTGCCGATTCCTGGCCAACTTAGTAGACTTTCCTCTTCCAGAATCAGAGTCCAACTTGTGAGAGTCAGCACCAACAGGCTGGTTCCCCAATTCAATTGTTCTGGCTCCTTCCACATGAGGTTCCTGAGAAGGAACATATAGATCCAAATTTGAAGCCAGATGATCCCACAACCTGTTCAAAAGCAAAATAAGAATATTATATATATATATATATATAAGATAACTAATGGTATCAGAGGTAAGGATTAATTAGTGCTAAGTCCATATCAACTATGTTTATATAAGCATTGACTTTCCCCAAAGACAAAAGTTGGAAAAAGAATCCAAATACCAGGAGACAAATGAATCGCTGTCATCCCCAAGAAAAACATTCAACTCATTCCTTGCTTCATCTTTACGTCTGCCATTTTTCAATAAGACAATCACGTATTCCTGCCAATTAAAACAACAAATTGAGAATATGATTCGACACCAATGGGGAATATCAGATATTTCACAATTTGTCTAACTGATTTGCTAATTTGTGCATTCCGATTTTATTGGAGATTGGATGTAAAGATGCAACAGAGCACCACATTGAATACTGAAATGTAAAGAAAATGCTTAACAAAAAACAAGTAATGCAAGAGACATCTGTATTGAAAAAAAAAATTAAAACCAGATATCATGCCAAATAATCTTACAACTGAGCAAAAATAAAGGGCTCATGAAACCTTAAGCAAAAAACTAGGGATGATGAAGCGCTTTAGTTCCTCACTTGTTGAGTAGAAAAATTGCCACCAACACATCAAATGCAATTACCAATCAGAATTTAATGTTTTAGCCCCAGGTAAAGGAAAACTTCAGCTTGTGCTTCTTCCCAGCCCTTTCTTTTAACTAGTGATCTTGATAAGTACATAGAATAAGCAAATAAAAGGTAGACAGTAGAGTTGTTTGACGAGTTTGAAATTCTACAGGATAGCACTTAAAAACATGCAATCATTACCAAATTGAATCAAAGACCAATGCCAAAAGTCTCAACTCCAAAGGCCAAAAAACAATAACCAAAATCTCACGACTACACAAAATGCAGAAGTAACCGACTTTATGATCAATGCAACAGTTCAGAGAAGAAAAAAAAATTACAGTATTCACACATGTTATAATCAAAGGCATATACGCAAAAAAACAATATAAACCAAAATTAACTAGTAAAGGGGAAAAAAGTACCACAAGAATATCATCAGTGTAGTCACCCATGAACTCCTTGAGTTTATCCTTGATTCTGTCTCTCAACTTGGCTGCTCCATCTCCGCTAAAATCAACTTTAAATGTAAAATCATCAACCCGATCCACGCTGCCCATCTTCGACGATTTCCCGTTCAAAACCCTGAGCTAACCTCTAGATGTATAAACAAAACTAATGGATTATACGCTATTCCAGAAACCCTAACTCCAGTGGTTTGCAAGCATTAAGAAAAGATGGAAATAGTGAAAAGTCGGAGAAATGCGGCGGCGGGAGAGAGAGGGAAAATTTTGGGTGTCATGGCATGGGAATCCCCCGAGGTTTGCGGGGTTAGAGATGGTGAGTTGAGGTGAGAGAATCGAAATGGGGGAGAAGAGGGGGCATTCGTTCATATATATGTACCGACTGTGCTTTCTGTGAGTGGGGGGCTTTTTTTGCTAGGCCGCGGACAATAAAAATTAGTGCAAACTTGGGCTCATTGAATGAAGAATTAGTGGTCCTGAGGCCCATAATAAAGTTCATAAATAGACCAAGGACTTGTGGGTCTGTGGCCCAGCCTAGCGGGCTCATAATTTGATGTTAATAATCACTCCATTTTTGCATAATTGAACCGCCTTTGGAGGCCCGGCTCTGTTCATTTTATCACCAGGGTCAAAAATATAGGACAAAAGGGGCGAGTAGATCATTCCCATCCTAGTCTTCGGGTTTTTTTTTTTTTTTTTATAATATTTTTATTCGGTAAATTTTTACCGAATAAAAATTTACATTCATCCTTCCCAGATGCTTACTCTTAGGTATAAATAATATATTAATATTTATAAATTATTCGGATTGATTTAAATAAAATTTAAATTTAATTTAATTATTATCGAATTAAATTTAAATAATTTAATTTATAAAATAAATTAAATTCAAATATTTTAATATTTTATTTAAACAATTCACGAATTTAATTAAAATTTTAAATTTTAATATATTTTTATGATTTTAATTATAAATTATTATTTTATTTATATATATAAATTCAAACTCGGTAATCAAATTTTTTTAAATAAATTTAATTGAATAAATTTAAATAATTTAAATTTTATTTTAATTTAAATTTAAAATTCGATTGAATTCAAATTAAATTTAATTAAATTTAAATAATAAAATTTAAATTTTTTACTATATTAATTTAACTCTATTTGTTTACATCCTACTTCATAGTCGATTGAGAGAATTCTAGGTGGCAACCTACCATGAACCTGTTTCTGTCGCCATATGCCCACGCTACGTCAGTTGAGTCCACCCGCAATTCAGCAGAGGCAAACTCTACTTCATCTTCTAACACTGATACAAGGAAGTGAAAAAAAAGTTACAAATAACGTGTTGGTTTGACAGGGATTACCTGCCAATGTGGCTGTCTTTTTTTGTACGGTAAGTGAGATTTAGATTATGATTTTTTTAAAAATGTTTACTAAATCATGATAATGACCCGGGCGTATGGGTCAAGGATGCTTCTCCCGGAAGACAAGCGGGCGCAAGTTCCCCATCCTGCCTTGCGTTTTGCCTCGTAAGAGTGCTGACTCACGCATTACTGGCCGACATCCGCTGACCAAGTCAAGCTGTGGCCCTACTAGTAGCCGTCCAGCGACTAACTTTTGTTTTATACAACAACAATTATAAGACTATTTATTTTTTAATTTTTCATTTCTAAATTTTCAAATGGTGTGATTATGAATGCGACTTGGTTTTAATTGGATGTTTTACTTTTATATAGGTGAAAAAAATACCATTTTTTTTAATCATCTACGTATATAATTGATGTAATTGAAGTAACTCACGTTTTGCCAAAAAAGAAAAACTCATATACTTATCTATAAACATTGGGTGCTATATTTTTCTTTTCAAACTTTACTTTACAGCGTATATTTGAGTTGATAATTCAATTCATTTCAAACAAATTTTGATTTGATTTGATATGATAACAGATCGATTTTTTTTAATTAAATTTTGAATCAAGTTAAATAATGTTAAAAAAATTTAAATCGAGTTAAATTCAAATTTTAGATAAATTTGATTTGATTTAATTAAAAATTATATAAAAATTAATTTTTAAATTTTTTATTTATATATATTTATATAATTATATTTAAAAAATATTTTATATTTTTTAAAAAATAATATTTTATTAATTTTGAATTAAATCTAATATAATTAATATAACATTAAATCAGATTAAATTCAGATATCAAAAAATAAAAAATTTTAAGTTCATATTCGAGAAGAACAAAAACTCGCCGCACTCAAACCCATTGCCAACTTTACATATATTTTTATAATTATTTTAATATAATAATACATGGGTTTTGTTCCTTTATATAAAAACTAGCCTAATGTACACGAGTTGTGGTGGGTATTCAGTGCCAAATACACAATAATAGTATAATTTCTTTCAATTTCCTATCAATTAATATATTATAAAATAATAATTTATAATTAACATAATATAAATATATTAAAATTTAAAATTTTAATTAAACTCACAAAATATTATAATTAAATATTAAAATATTTAAAATTTATTCATTTAATAAATTAAATTGATCGAACTTAATTCAATAATAATAATAATAATTTAAATTTTATCTAAATTAAATTGAGTAACCGTTGAGTCCTAGTTACGACTCTAATTGTTATAGTAACTTTTTTTAGAATAAGAAACGCATGGCTTGCACACGTGAAGACCGACGTCGTTGAAAAAGATATGGTGGGCTGTGAGGACGGTCAGATTGGGCGGCTTAAAGCCTGTATTAGAACTGCCCTATGGCCTATGGGATAGAACTTCGACATTGTACCAATTTTCCATTATACCCTCTCTTTGTTTTCTTCTTCCCATCCCTTAGCCTCTTGGAAAGGCCTCATGACAACAATGTGGCGACATTGGGAAATTAGTGTTCATTGTGTTCAAGCCCACAATTAAATTAGTGTGGGGTCATAAGTTATTATCTTAACTGAATTTAGCAAAGTCCTGCATATGAAATACCGACTAATTTGGTTTAGAACGTCACTGTTAAACAAAAGGATCAAGTTTATCCTTTCTTTCATTCTCAATCCATGTGATTCACGAGGGAAGGTGTGCATATTTTTTGTGATATACTTTAATTGTACGTAAGATCTAAATGAATATAATTTTTTATGAATTGTTAGTAAATATGTTCGATTTTTATTTAATATTTTTTTATTAATTAAATGAATTGAATATAAATAAAAATTATTTAGTTCGTTTATATTTATGAATAAGTTTATTTAAAAATTATTTAAAAAATATTCGTTTGTAATAATATTAATAAAATTATATTTTTATTTTTTATATTTATTTTATTTTAAGATTTATTTATATTTATTTGTATATGTTTATATTTGTTTATAGTTTATTTGTTTAAATTTATTTAGTTATAATTTATTTATTGTTCATCAATATATTTGTTTATATATGTTCGTAAATATATTTATTTAATATTTATAAATAAATTTATTTAATTTAATTGAATCAAATAAAAATCAAACACAAATAATTTATTATTTATATGAATAAAAATGAATAATAATTTTTTTTATCGAACATGAATCAAGTTCGAACTTCTCTAAAAATAAATGAATAAATTACGTACATACGTTTATTTATTTATATTCAATTAATTTATAATTATAATTATATATTGTCAATTCGTGTAATTTATTAATTATAATATGTAATTTTTATATAAAATATAATATAAATATATAAATTTTAATATTTTTTATGATATTAATGCATAAATCATCAAGTTTGTTGACAATTATTGTACTAAAAAATAACAAAAAAGGCTAAGGATTGGTAGATAGAACAGTGAAATTGTGAGTGATTGCCCCAGCAGATAAAAGAGATGTGTCGAGGTAAAACTGCAAGGTCGCTTGAACTTTAAGCTAGCTTAGTCTGATTTATTTTTTTTATTATTACTATTATTCGTAAAAAAAAAAGAAAAAGATAGCCGTAGGATAAATTTTAAAAGGATTTTATTTTATTTCTATCGTGCGGCTGAAGAAGCGGTGCTACAAAAAATAAATAAGCGTACCGCGTTTTATAATATCTCCATAATGACGACAATTAACACGTCCGAAGGAAGTAATAATCTAGAAGACGCAAATTGACAAAAGTCACGAGGCTATTTTTGTAAATAGGAAAAAAATTTTGATGCGCGTCTCTATGAGGCCCATATTCCATCGCCATTGCCGACCTCTCAATCCCTTCAAATCCCACTTTCTCCTCTCCCTAACGCCTAGCCTACCAGACCCTTTCCTCTCTTTGTTTATTTCATCCCTTTGAAATCGTTTCTTGGTTCCTGGTCGGAAACAAAACAACAGAGAGAGAACATGGCGCAAAGAGCCGAGAAAGAAGAGACCGAGTTCAAGGTACCTGAAACCTTGACGCTATGCATCAACAACTGTGGGGTTACGGGGAATCCAGCCACCAACAACATGTGCCAAAAATGTTTTAACGCCACAACAGCCACCTCCTCATCCTCCACCATCACCACCGCCGATAAATCCTCGAGATCTACCTCGTCTCGTCCGCAGGATAACCGATCCGATCCTGCTCCGGCTACAACAACGAATGGTCGGACCACCGCATCAAATGGATCAGGAAATGATCCTGCGGCGGAAAAGAAGGTGGTGAATCGATGTTCCTGTTCCGGTTGCAGAAAACGCGTGGGGTTGACAGGGTTCCGGTGTAGATGTGGGGAGCTTTTCTGTGCCGAGCACCGGTACTCGGATCGACACGATTGCAGTTATGACTACAAGACAGTGGGTCGCGAGGCCATCGCTAGAGAAAATCCCGTGGTTAAGGCAGCCAAGATTATCAGAGTTTGATTTATCAAATTAAATTAAATATTGGGTCATTTTTTGACCTGAAAATATGAGCAAGTTGTGGAGACCTATGCTCGATCTCATCATCAATCCTTGCGAAAGATGACATCTCAAGAGACCGTTTCATAGAGAGAAAAGCTTCAAAATCAAAACCTTCACATTAAGATTACCGGATATGAAGAAGATATTTTCTCTTGTGATTGTTCATGTTGGATCAATCTATAGTGTTTCATTTTTCTTGGGTTTTGTTTTTTAATTGAGAAATGAAAGATTATTGTGGCTTATTTACATTTGTGTTACCCTTCCCTCAGGATTCAGATCTGCCTTTTAGATTGTTTGTTTGACATTACAAGTTTGATGAAGTTATTGCCCATTTTAAAGTTTGTTTATATTAGAAATAAATGTAATAATGGCGTGGATTTGAGATTCGGCACAAATGGCATGTAAATGTAAATTCGATCTAACTTTGGGGGTGAAAAGGTGATTTTGATTTTTGAGGTATCGCAATTTGCAGCTGGAAATTTCGGTGGGAAGTTTTAATTGACCCGTACTAGTATAAATCCACAAAATAAAATACAAGTAAAGGGACCTCTTGAAAATGATATGTGCTGTTGTCTGTCCTGAGATTTGATGGGGTAAGTGATATGTTTGCATTTGACATGATGTCTCATTTTGCATAGTCCAATCAAATCTAGCCACGTATAGATATTAAATGGTATAAAGCAAGTACAGCAAAAAGCTGTAAAGTTGGTGTCAGCGAGAGTGACGGGAACATTTGCGTTGTTGTTGAAAAAACAAAATTATTTAAAATACGTAATAATAATACATTCATACGTAGAGAGATACGGTATTAATGTGGAGATGTGAGGCGATCGGGGAGAGGGGCGTGATTGAGTGAGAGTTGGTTGCACAATGACGTTCTTTTTCTTTTCCTTTTTTTAATACACATAATTATTTTAAATATGATATAAAAATAATATATAATAAATTATATATATTATATAATTATATTTTGTATTTTAATTATATCAACATATTTAAAATATAATGTTATGAATATCATATTTTATATCTTAAATGTGTTATACGTTTAAGATATATTTAATTAATTAATTATATTTTAATTATATTATTGTGTTAACATGTATAAATAATTCATTTATGATTCATGTAAATAACATATTTTTTCACAATTAATTATATTTATGTTCATTTTCTTATAAAAAATATATGATTAAAGTGTTAAATATGTTTAGGGTTTTAATATTTTTATTATGTTATAATTTTTGATTTAATATTGAATTATTGATTAAATATTTTAGTATTAATCGTGTTAATTATTTTTAATTTTGTTAATTATATCATATTACTCATTCTTAAAATGACTTAAAACATATTAATCATATAGTATCTTATCACGTCACGTATAATATATATAATAAACATATCATATTTATTTTAAATTATTCATGTCATTTAAATATTAATTTATATTTATATTATATTTAAAATCGTATCTGATACGAAATATGATACACGAATCATTAAATTTAAACTTTTTTTATTATAATTATTTCTATTTGCAATGTTGTTATGTCTTATGTTTTACAACAACTCAGATCAATTTAACACTCTTCTGAGGGGGACGAGAACAAGCAATAAGATGCATCGATGTAAAAGTTTTCATTTTTTATTTATCAAATTCCAAAACAAAGGGTTGTAATTATAAGAAATTTCAGTGGATGAACTGATATTTTTGTGTTGGTTACAAAAGGAAAGAATGGAATCTTTAAGAGATAAGAAGCAACCCCATTTTTGTTAGTATTGCGGTGGGTGAGGGTGAGTCATAAGAAGGAATCTCAAAGTGGCAAATACGGTGAGTGAGCAGCGACGATGAGATGAGCACTGAAAATTTCCACTTTATTAATTTAAATTGCAAAAAATTTGATAGTCGACAAACTGATACAACATCGCAATTCAATATACAAAAAGTTTACTTTTATTTATAAAAATTCGAGTATGATTGACACCATCCAATAATTGCTTCTTTCTTTTTTTTTTTTTTTTCCTTTGGAAAATAAAGCAGAGAATGGGAATCTTTTTAAAGGCTCCCCTCTTTCCCCGATTTTCGAACTTAGGAGTACAAAACAAACAAATACTAGAACCATAATAAGCATATGATGTAATTAAAAGTATAAATAATACATTAATATTTATAAATATTTAAATTTAATTAAGTTATTATTGAATTTGATTAAATTGACTTATTAAACGAGTTATGCTCAAATATTTTAATGTTTTATTTCAATAATTCATGAACTTAATCGATTTTTTAAAATTTAATATGTTTTTATTATTTTAATTAAAAGATTTATTATTTTATCTTTATATATATTTTTATGAATTTAACTTAAAATTGATCATAAGAATTAAATTTATGTTTTTTATTAAACAAATTTAATCGAACAAATTTTATTAATTTAATTTTTATCTCGAATGAAATTTAAATTTAAAAATTAAATTTTAATCAAATTCAAATTAAATTTCGACAAATTTTGAATCAAATTCAAATTAAAATTTCTCAATATCTCAATTCAACTTGAATTAATTCAGACTAAATTATAATTGTAGATGCAATACCATTTTTTTTTTACTTATAAAATTATTATTATTTGCGTGCACTGCTCTTAAGGAGGCTAAGGATCAGGAATTATAGATGGATTTTCAGGGTGGCATCAAGTGATTGAGCCTGTGCCAGACATTATTGTTGTAGTAATAAAAAATTAGGGTTGAGACCCCATAAGGATAGTCCGAAATGACTTTTTGTGAGAATCAAATCAGATCACTTTCTCGCCCATTACCTAAATAGGCTTTTATTATTGGTGTATGAAATCCACCACCGCCTACATGCCATCAATGCTTTCTGATTGAAAGCAATGCTGATTAGATTGATATCGATACACCACTATTTATGTCTGAGATCAAGGCTTCTATCTCTTTTCCATTGCATATTATGGTTATTGTCCAAAATTTAGAAAGGATATAACACTTGAGGATTACTACATACAGACATAGAAATAAAATCCCACGTTAGGAACAACCTTAACAAAGTGGTAATAACTTCATTCTTTAACACTTCTGTTGATAGATAATGATTGTTTAGAGCATAATTCAAAGCTAAATGCAAAGAAAGAAAGAAGACAACCTAGTCCCTACAATATTCTAAAATTCGATAGGACATGAAATGCTAGAAGAAGTACAGAATGGAAAGACATGGCCCATTTTGAAGAGGGATCAGATCAGGCTCCATCTGGCTGGATGAAAGGATTGGCAATCTCATCCGTGCCATCAGTTGGTGATACTAGCATCACCGCAGTACCCCTACAAACCTGCATCAAATAATTGACATATTGTTCAAATGATATAAGTGTTTGTGTTCACATGCTATAAACCCTTTGGATTTTGATCACTACATCTTCCTCCTACCATATGTTTCAGATAATATAACACATACAAAAACATTCCAACATGATCTGGAAATGGAAATAGCGGACCCAAAGATACGTGGCTCCACCCAAAATACCTATCCGTGACAGTTCTGCTGATCCAATGATTTCAGCACTCAATTTTCACTCATTACTTTGACAAGCTTGAATTTCTAGAAACATAAGGTGCCAGAATATTCAGAGTCATAGGTTGAGTTTATTAAATCCATATGACTGCAGCAGAGGCAATGCATGCAATGCGGTTTTTGGATCACTTATTGAAACGGCACCATAAAATTGAAGAATAAACTGTAAAAAGGGTGGAGGAAGGAAGGGAAGGGGGAAGAAAAAAACATACTATCAAGCCAAGACGCCTGGTCTGATCAGTAGTCTTCATCGGATCATCCTGATCTGCAGAATATCCGAAAACAGCAGAACAAATCAATCTTGTTTTCTCAACCAGAACTTCAGACACATGAGCAAATTAAAAAATAAAAAAATAAAACTTTCAGAGAGAAGAGGTCAAGCGGTTCAGAAAAAGCAGATAGCAACTCCACTCAGAAGTTTCAAATTTCAGTTTGCAATTGTCCACGCTCTTAATTGCTTACAGCTCAAATAGAATTAGAGAAGAATAAGCATCACTCTACAGGGAATAAGAATGACTAATTATTGACCTGAAAAATTGCTATAACAAATTCGCTACAAGAGATCAGTGCTGCTAAACAGGCCATGCAGATTACACACATGGAGATTTTATCCTTACAGCCATTGTTTTCCTTTAAAAGGACAGCTAGCATGCTAAGGAGAAAAAAGAAAAAAAGACATAAAATGCCCTTGCTGGGTAAATAAAATGAAATTGCAAGAACTTTAACCAAACTCAACCAAACAAAGATCATATCCTGAAAACTGCCAAGCAGTAAAGGATTTGGCAAGATGTAGCAACTATTGCAAAAAAATTATCTGAATGAACCCATACTAATTGCTTAGCATGCTAGCTAACATGTGTATGGCCGACAGAGCTCTGTAGACATGCTTATTTTTGCCTCTATGAAGCAGCACAAGTTCATTGGAGGAGAAAATCTAATAGCTCTATGGGAAGCTTATGGAACAGACTTCCATGATCTGTTTTCTGAGTGCTTTTGATGCCAAAATAAATGGTTGTAAGTAACAATCATCCTGCAAATTGCAATTTTCCATTTAAGAGAGCAAATGAATCTGTATATCCTACTTTTTTTTTCATTTATTTTAGATTAGAAAAGAAGCATTCTCTTTGCAGCATGAGAGAACAGACACTAGACATAGAAGAATATTCGGAACAGGTGGAGCAAAGAGAAGGTGCCGAAGTAATTCGTGCAAGGAAAACAAGTGAAACACTCGCATGTAACTGCAAACTGTTACATAGGCATATATAATTACCATCTACTCGACACTGGTCATTGGTCTGAGAATGGATGTACAAAAGGACCAAAAACCCAAAAGCAGTTGAGTTTAGAGAGACAAGGTATCTAATGTTCATCAAAGAATATAGTTTGAAAGCTTTCTGGATGTATTACAGCACACAAACAAGCATGTTTACGATGTGCCATAGAGGCAATTACCTCGAAGAAATTCTACAGCTTCATCCAGGACAAGATTTAGTAGCTGGTCATATCCTTTTAGAGTCCCTGTGACTAAAACAGAAAAAAGAAATGGCTCATGAAATAAATGATACATAAACTACATCAAACAAATGATGGGGAAAAAAGAAAATGGCCTCCACACCTATAGGGAACGTGACATGTTGCAATACTTGGCATTAGAGCCTGGAAGCTATTATTAGTTGATGAGATATTATCAGATTCCTGATGTCAAATTATTTCTATTCGGTAATTCTTTAGCATCACTCATAATCTAAACCCAAGTTTCAGTACTTTTTATATTCACGTAAAGACCAAAGAAAAATTGAAAGCACAGCAACAGACCTTGTCTACCACCAGAGAGTTTGACCTGAACACCTTTGTCTACAAACTTTGCCAAATCCAAGACTGTTTCTTTCCTGCCCGACTGCAAGCATAATAATTATCCATTCTAAATTAATTTTTAAAAAATAAAAGAAAATGTATATTAATAAAGGAACAAAATTAATGCTAATCCCTTAATGGGCAAAGCTGAGAAAAAGGTTTAACCTTTAAAGTTTAGAGAGAAAGTGAAAGTTACCATATTGTAGCCTTGGAAATGCGAGTCTTTTGGGCACTTTACCTAGAAATCAAAGAACCCAAATCTGTAAACAACAAAAAAAAGGGGCAAAATTTATGGATTTAGCAAAGAAGCAGTGAGTACTCATAACAAAATCTGATAGAGCTGGTTCGAAATCAAAAAGAAAAAGAAGGTTAGGGATCTAACAGAAGCAGCAGATTTTAGAAACAATAGTGCCCTTGTATGAGTAAAGTAAATAGGAAAGGCCGAGAATGACAACAATTTAGCACAATGATAGATGGGAGGGGTATTTAAGTAATAATAAAGAATCTAAAGTCGCTTTAGTGTAGAGAACTAGGGTTCTCTATAACGGGCAGACGGCAGAGGGAGAGGAGCTTTGGGTTTTGGAGGCCGCAAAGAAAACGGTAGACAAGGCAAGCAAAGGAAGAAAGCAGGTGGTCACTAGAGAGTACACCATCAACCTCCACAAGCGCTTGCATGGATGGTAACTTACTAAAACCAAATCTACTCTTTCCTTTCTTCCCCTTTCTCCTTTTGTTGCTCTGATATACTATATTAATTTAGCTATTATGATGTATGTATGTACGTATGTTGCTTTGCCTTCTCGTAATCATGCATATGTTTCCATTGCTGAAATTGTGAGCATTTGTCCTATGATAAGGATGTTCAAATATTTAACTTTCTGGTTTGGATTACCTTATTACTATATGTATGTATGTATGTATCATATGGAGCAGCTGATTAGTTGCTTTGCCTTCTTACAATCATGCTTATGTTTCCATTGCTGAAATTATGAGTATTTGTCTTATGATTAGGATGTTCAAATATGTAACTTTCTGGTTTGGATTGCTTTATTTCTACATAAATAAAGAACAGTATTATCTTTCTGAATTATAGGCAACCGGGTTTTTTTGAATGCCATGCAGCTCGATCACAACATGAACATGAATCAAACTGTTGCTATGTTGTAATTTTTGCTCACTTCCATTTAGTTTATGTTATGCAATGTAATCTGGGAATTTGAACAACTTTGCACAGCACGTTTAAGAAGAAGGCTCCAAAGACCATAAAGGGGATTAGGAAGTTTGCCCAGAAGGCCATGGGAACAACTGATGTGAGAGTTGATGTAAAGCTCAACAAGCATGTATGAAGCCGTGGGATCTGAAGTGTGCCGAGGAGAGTTCGAGTCTGCATCGCAAGGAAGAAAACGATGAAGAGGATGCTAAGGCAGAGTTTTTCTCTTTGGTAACTGTTGCAGAGATCCCTCCTGAGGGTTTGAAGGGGTTGGGAACAAAGGTCATTGATGAAGAAGACTGAAGTAACTGACCTACGTACATCTTTGTAACTTATTGTGATCTTCATTGGTACTTTAATATGAGGCAGCTTCATCTGAGAATTATGTGGTTGATTGATTGGTGGATAATACTGTTCCCATGGCCTGTGGTTGATTAAAGAAGGAAGAATGGATCTTTTCTTTGGTGCTTTTCAATGCGTTGGTTGTAGAAAGCGCTCAAGAGTTTAGATGAAATGCATTTTGTTGCAATGACAGTGTTGAGGTTTCTATAACAAAACTTTAGCTAGATGGCTAATGCCATGGCTCAGAGACAAGAGAAGAGTTAAAATAAAACTTTAGCTGCTTTTTAACAAATTTCGTAAAGAAAAAATGCCCTGTGTATTGTTTTACTATCTGTTCATTTACATTACATGAATTGAATCTTATAGTGCCAAAAGTCACACTACTAATGACTTAAGAAAGCGATTGGACGACCAAAAAATTGTCCAGGGATGTAATTGATTAAATTCGAGTCGATACAGTATTAAGCTTAAATTCGAGTTCGATTCGAAATTCGAGACTCGAAATTCAATTCGAACTCGATCTAATTTTATTTTTCTAGTTTGAACTTGACTCGAAATAAAAATCAAATTATTCGAACTTATTCAATTAAGCTCGATTAATATGTAAAAATAAATTTGATTATTATATTCGATAAAAATTTGATTATTTGTATTCGAGTTTAAACTCAAGTTTGAAATATTTTATTAATTAAAATAGTAAAAATATATTTAAATATAAAAACTCGATTAGATTTATAAACTATTCAAATCGTATATAAAAATGCTCGAACTTGACTCGATTGATAAGTTGAGCTATTCGAGTTTGACTTGATAATAATTGAGTCGAATATAAGTTTTGTTCGAATTAAATCCAAATAATTTACGAATATTAATATATTATTTACAATTCTAGTCCATATTAACTGCCAAATTTTGACTATATCCACCCTTTTTAAGCATTTTACAAATTTCTAATAATAAAAAAAAATAAAATAAAAATCAAGGTGGGCCGAAAGCTGGAAACCAAAGGCTCTGTTTCCAGGGTGCTTTTCACTGATTTGGGCCGGGAATAGAGTCTCGGATGCTTTTCTCTTATTTGGGCCGTGAATAGAGTTCCAAGCTAGAGGTTAATTCGATTTTTTCGATATATTTTACAATATTATAAATTTTTAAAATGGGATTAAAATCTAAAACATTCCGAAGATTCGATCTAAACAATATATTTAATATTTGAATTTAATTTAAAATTAAAATATTATATATATATCCTAATTTAATTTAACATTATAATTTTAAATCGATTTATTTATTTATTTATTTTCTGTCCGCATCGACAGCTACTCTAGTTCTATAAATTTAAGTAATAACAACAGTAAATCTTCCCCGCCAAGCTCTGGAGTTTGGAAGTAGCAAACGGCGGAGATTGCGATTGGAAGCAGCCTCAAGGCCTCACCCCAAATTCAACTATCGGCGCACGTTGATTGCATCGCATTCCCATCTCTCATTTTCCCAAGTCATTTTTTCACTTTTTTTTACGTTATTTCCTTCCCCTTTTTCCATCTCTCTGTTTGTTTCCGAGGAAAATGAGGGCATTCATAACTACCTCTTCTGGATTTGTATAATTTCACTGACATTTTTGTTTTTGTATGTTGATATTAGGCGAAGCAAGGTGATTTCATTGCTTTCTTTGTTCGTTTGATTGCTGGTTTCAAAGCGAAAGTAAGTTGTAATTTTAGTTTGGATTTTCCTAATTTCGTGCATTTGGTTGAGTTTCATATTCGGTAGTGCTTGTTTTAGTTTATTTTTTAGGTTTATTTTGGAACTAATTATATCATATGTAATTGCATTAGCAGCTAGCAGTTCATATGCAACAAAGAGTAAAGCTTTTTCTCGTCTTCTGCTTTGCGTTTCTGATTTTTCTTTTGTTTCTTTTTTTTTCTCGTGCTGCTTAAGGGTCCATAAATTGAGAAGCTTGAGTTTGATCAAATTTTAATTTTCAAGTTCCAGCATGACTCAAGATAAAAATTGAGCTACTCAAATTTGCTCTATTATGGTCATTTAATAAAAAATAAAAAATAAGCTCAATTATCATATTCAATTTCAAGTTTGATTATGTGTTCGAATTCGAGCTTGGATTCAAATTAATATATATATAAGTAAATAATAATTTTTTAATTAAAATAATAAAATATATTAAAATTTAAAAGCTCAATTAAGCTTGCGAGCTATTTGAACCGGACATTAGGATACTCAAACTTGGCTTGTTCGATAAGTCGAGTAAGTTGAGTTGCTAGAACTTGAGCTCGACTTGATAATGACCTAGCCGAATTCGAGTTTTATTTGAGTCAAGCCCAAGTAACTTGCGAGTATTAATGTATCATTTACACCCTTAGTACTACTAGTTTGGTTAGAAAGAGGCTTCAGGCTGTTAAAAAGTTTGAACTCATGTCTTTTTTTCTTTAAAGTTCAAGTGTTCAACAACCCACTCTAGATTTCATCTCATTTCAAGCTTTCAGATTCATTGGCAAAATTTGCAAATTGAGGTCAAAGGAGATGGTTTTTTTTAGGTCTTTTGCCATGCTGAATATATCTGTTACTATTGCAAATGGATATCCCCTTTCATAATCATGCCTTCTTAGATTCTAAATTCACTATAATATTTTGTGATGAAACTATAACGATGATAACTTGGCTGTTCTTGTAATGTTAGTTCCTGAAATGGAGGGGCACCTTGAACAATCTCCAAAAATGGGGCTTCCCATTGACAGCGATGATGTCAAGTATATCTCTGGGTTAAGCACTATACTAGTCGCTACAATTCAGGAAGCAAAGGATAGAATTTCTCAGATAGAGTACATCTTTTGCAGCCAGCTCTACCCAAATTTCCAGTTGAAATCTAAAGGCTTGCAGAAGATATGTACTGAGGCCAAGAAAGCTGCAGAAGATGCATGGAGGAAGAAGGAAAATGAGTTCACACTTCAATTAGAGAAACTTGAACTGGAGAAGAAACAGGCCCTTGAGGAGAACCAGTCTTTCATGCTTGAGAAGGAAAAGCTACTAAAGGAGCAGGAAGAGAAAATGAGACAACTTCTTGTACAAATACAAAGTCAAGAACTCAAAATTGAGGAGCTAAAAGGGAAGCTTATCTTGAAGTCTAAGGAAAATGATGAGGGAATGGAATTACAGAGTAAATTATTGCAGTTAGTTCAAACGAAAGACTCTCTGATAGCTACTAAGGGTAAAGAGCAAAAACAACATAAAGAAAAAATAAATGTGCTTCTCAGTGATCTAAACAGTCTGCAGAAAAAGGTTGATGCACTCCAGCAGGAGCTTAGAGAAAGGACTCAGGAAGTTTCTGATGGGAAGAAGTTGGCAGATAATCTGCTTAAAAAGATTGAAACGCAAGCCTTTGATATTATGCATAATGAACAGAAGCTGATTGATTTTAACAAGGAGAAGAAGCTACTCGTGGCCAATTTTGACGAATTGAAGGAGAACTATGAAGAACTTCATGTGGCACTTAGGCAGAAGTCACACGAAGTTGAGGAGGGAAGAAAGTTGCAGGAACAATTGCTTCGACAAATTGATTTAAAAGGCTCAGAAATTTTAAAGAATAAGCAGCTGTTGGACGAGCATGAGAAAGAAAAAGAACTACTTCTGGCCAAAGTAAAAGGTTTGGATCAAAAAATCAATGAACTGCAAGTCAAACTTAGAGAAAGCTGTAATGATGCAGTTGAAGAAAGGGATTCATATGAAAATTTACTAAAACAGATCAAATCAAAAGCCTCTGAGTTGATGGCTGAGAAGAAGAAAAAAAGAGATCTCCTTGATGCTTACAAAAGGCTTAAATCTCAATACAACTTCCTCTGCAGAAAGAGTGGCCTTACTACTGAGAATATGACATTTCCAAATATAATGGAAGATGAAAGTGACTCAGCAAGGCATCGTCACATTTCCAAACCTTCTCTTGGCAAGTTTCTGTTGCTTGTATTTCATTTATTTATTTTGGCTTCTATTTAGATCAATGCTTAGTCCTCCTAGTTATTTGCTGATAATTGCTAGATAATTTTAAAACAGGTTTGCTTTTTCTTTTGCTCAAGGCTCTCTCAACTTATTGAGGTGTAGTTTTGCTAGTATTCATTGTGGTTTTGCTGAATTTATGGTTTAATTGAGACTGTCAAAAGCACCCTATAATTTGAGGCAAGATGTTGCAAAAAATTGCTGCCACTGCTATGTCTGCTATTTTTTTTCCTTTTGGTTTGCTCAGAGAGATTTCTTAGCTAAAGTTTGTTGTCCTTCGTTGCAGATGCTGAAAACAAAGTTTCAAGTACTCCTAAAGTTGTTTTTGACACAAAAACAATTAAGGATGTAATTGGTTTAAATGTTGGCTTAGTGGATGAGAAAGCAGCTAAACCAGTTGAAGCCTCTAGCTCCCACTTTCCTACATCCAGTTTCCCCACTCCAAAATGTCCCTCAAGTGTGACATCCAATCCTGTAGCTGGTACGAAGCGACCTGTTTCAGGTTGGAGAGATACTAGGTCCCTTCAGGGCCAAGCCGGGCCTGATCCCCATGATGATTTTCTTGACACTCCGATGGAGAATATAAGAGGAAACCTGAAGAAAGCCATGAAGGAAGAAGCTGATGGTCTTCCAGTTCCGGAAGACATGAATGTTGATAGCTCAAATGATGAGACCCAGGATTTTAGTGTTGACAAAAGGCCGTTTCAAACAGCTGACAAAGGAAGTTTCAAGTACGTGGAACCAGTGAGAAAGAAAGCAGAGAGGGAAAAGTTGAAAGGATTTGAATGCAATCAATGCAAGAAATTCTATGATGCTGTTCTTAATAAGGGAGATGAAGACAATGCAGATGAAAACAAGAATTTCCGCTGTGAGCATCATGAGGGTGTGTCTAGGCACCGATACAAGTATGTTCCTCCTATGACTCCTGAGGGATTTTGGAATATTGGGTTTGAGTCTGAAATGTGATTTGTTTAGCTCAAGACTGACTACATTTTTCATTTAAGTTTTAATAATCATTCAAAGCATATTTCAGTCTTGAATCTGGGGTATGGTATAGTTATGGGAGCATAAATGCATAAAATGCATTCATTGCTAAATTATGCCCAAAGTTAATGTGGATGTTAGCCGAGTACATGAATCTATTAAATGTGGGTGACAGAGACATGCAGGAGGTAGAAAATCAAGCTTAGGGATATAATTGAGTAGAGAAACTTGATTTTCGACTCAAAATTTATTATTTGAAATACGGTTTAAATTCAATCAAATTTTAATTTTTAAACTTGAATTTGATTCACGATTAAAGTTAAATTACTCAAATTCGTTTAATTGACTTATTTAAAAAGATTAATTCGATTTTAAATTTAATTATATGTTTAAATTTGAGTTTGAACTCAAATTGATATATATATATATATATAGATAAATAAAGTAATAAATTTTTTATGAAAATAACATAAAATATTAAAATTTAAAATTAAATTTATAAGTTACTTGATTCAAACATTAAAATATTTAAAGTTGACTTACTCAGATAAATTAAATTATTTAAACTTAAATTGATAATAATAAAATTGAATTGAAATTTTATTTGATAATAATTAATTTAAATTTAAATTTTATTCAAATTAAATCTGAATAATTTATAAATATTAATACATTAAGCCTGTACCCAAGCTGACTCCTTTATTTTTACCTTGTGCACTTACCCAACGACATGGCTTAAATGCTTCACCAGAATTCGTTCCAAACCTTTAATGAACGCATCTAGGACCATAAAATGAATGAATACACATAAACTCACAAATTCCAAGGAAAAGATAACTCTTTTTACAAGTGGAGGTGGAACTGCAACAGGCAGCAAGCACAAATTGTCAAATTCCAATCCAACCACTTATCCATGCAAAATAAAGTTGGGAATCTTTTGCTCCTTATCTTTGTAACTTTTTTTTTTCTGAATCTTATGCTTTTAATCACATCACGTGCATGCAACTCACCTTGTCTGAAAATGGTTACATAGCATGAGAATCAGATAATCAACCTTATAGAAAAAATATATAGAAAAAAGTATACTACTACTATTTTAACACACTGTTACAGCACCACATTTCAATTTCATTTTCATAAAAGAACAAAAAAAAAAAAAACCGACTCCAATTCTTGATTATTGGGCAGCCCTCATGCTTATTAACATTAACCTCATCTAAGCAGGCTATTAACAAGTCTTGAGTGGGTTGCCGCAAAGACAATCATTGCTGTCAAAAGACGATGCTTCAAGATGATCGAACGGTGATCCCACGGGAATGGATCCACAAAGATGGTTATGGCTCAGATCCAAATGTCCAATGTATTTTGCCGACGATATAGACCTGGGAACTGGACCTTTCAAGTTATTGAAGGATAAATCAAGAGCCATGTAGTAAGATTTGGGCCCGAAAACGTCTGGTATTTCCCCTTCAAGGGAGTTTCGGCTCAAGTTCAGGATTCCCAGGCCCGTATTCGCCAACACGACCGACGGTATTTGACCTGAAATCATATTACTATCCAAATTCAACGTTGAAAGCACCCGCATGTTCCCCAACTCCTTTGGTATCTGACCCCATAACTTGTTTATTGACAAATCCAGGTCAGCCAACCTGGACATCTTGCCAATGGAGCTGGGAATCGTCCCGCTGAGTTGGTTTCGACTCAGCAATGCGCGACTCAGCATCTTGAGGTTGCCCAAGTTGGCAGGAATCTCCCCTGTGAGAAGGTTGTTGCTCAAACCCAGATGCTTTAAACTGGAGAGTTGAACTAAGGAGCTTGGGATCTCTCCACTTATCTTATTATCCGCCAGGTTTAAGACAGTGAGTTTCTGGAGATTCCCTATCTGTTCTGGGATTTTTCCAGACAGGGAATTGCCAATGAGATCTAAGACTCTTAAGTCGGGTAGCGAAACCACGCATTGAGGGATCTCTCCAGCGATGCCTTTCCAGTCAGCGATGATCAAAGCGGTGAGGCGGTTCAGCTGGCAAATGGAAGGGTTAATGGAACCGGACATGAAGCCCGAACCGGGGCGTCCGTTTTTATGGAGAATGGGGTCCTCAGACTCACCTCGCAGGGAAACGTCTGTGACGCGGTGAGTGGTGGGGTCGCAACTGATGCCATACCAGTTGGAGCAGCAGTCAGTGCCCTTCCACGAGTCGAAGATGCCCAAGTATGGGTCCTCGAGCGACGAACTCAAAACTAGCAGCGCTTCTCGGTCTGAAGGAGGGCAGCCATGGACGGCGGAGATAATGGCTACCAACAAAGGCAAAGCTATGGCTGAGAGGCAGAAGACCCCCATGGATCTGATCTTTTACGAAATGTTTTCCTTTCCTTTTCCTTTTTTTTTTTAATTTTTCGTGTATATATATATATATATATATGTATAAAAATACAAAGTGTGTTTTGATTTTTCGATCTAAAACTAAAGTGGAAGATGAATTAAGAGAAAGAAGAGGAGAGAGGAGTGAGAAGGAATTGCAAAATGGAGTTAAGAGGCAGAGGTTTTATATAGGCTTCAGGGAGTACGATTGAATTATAAACAGCGGCTTTTTAAGTGCAGGGATGGATGCGATCGATGTTCCCAATATTTGATTTGATTGGTTTGCTCAAGCAGAACTTTAGCTTGGAATTATTTATTTGCACTGAACAGAAGAGAACAGAAAAAAGGTTAAAACTTTGAGGTCACATCAAATATTTTAATATACAATTTATGAATTGAATTAAATTTTAAAATTTTAAATATTTTAATTAATTATTTTATTTTTATATATCAATTTTATTTTTATTAAATAAATTTAATAAAATAAATTTAAATAATTTAATTTTTATTTTTAATTAAATTAAATTAATTAAATTTTAAATAATAAAATTTAAATTAAATAAAATTTAAAATTTTTATTATATCGATTTAACTTAATTCAATTATTTCTCTAAGGTTAGAGTCGATCACCAATCATCCTATAAATTCAAATTAAGAGGAGGAATTTAATTCCTCACTTTCATATTGAGTAATAATTTTGCTCCCCACTTTACCAAATTTTTGATTCTGTTCATTACTTTATATCATCAGAATGAATCTTCCGTGATTAATTAATTAATTACTTACTAAAAGTTATTGAAAAATAATAATAAAAAAACCATGGCCATGCCATGCCCATGTAGGCTTTAATCAAGAATATTAATTAAATTTACGGTGTCAACGTCTTACTAATTAAGCATGATGCGGTTGTGGTTGCTGCCTACTTTCATCTTGAAGTGCCATTCGCATTCATATTTTGTACTGTGTAGCCTTTATTACGATTTGCCTTCTATCACAAATTTCCAGCTCGCAAACTTTCCTCCTGCATACCACGCAAAGCATGCCCCTTGTTAATGCCATTTTCCATCAGTCATTTTGTTTAACTCTTCAGAATCTATATAATTAAGCTTCTATCTAAGCATTAATGTTTGGCATAAACACTGTTGAAATTGAGATTTGAGGTGCTGAAGGTGATGGGATGGGAGAAATTTATAAATAATTAGCTTGTTTGAGCCTAGCTTGAGCCTTGAGGGCTGAGGTCAAAGATAAATTGGTCGGTAATTAGCCACGTGTCTAAATTGGCCCAACCTCCGACACACTGATTAAAGTATGGGCCCTTTACCCAGGTTGGAGCAGATGAGATAACATGGGATGGTGTCATCCCGAGTCGGACATGATTCAAAGAGCTCACATGCAATTGCAAAAGACAAACAAACCCAATCCTCATTGAATCGTTGAAATTATTATTATTATTATTATTATTTTGAACGGAACATGGGCACATGATCTTGGCCTTGCGTTGGGTTAGTTAGGTTTTTACACAATTTAATTTAGCCATTACTTTACTGGTCAGTCGGAAAATGGCAATCCGTTAAAAGTTTCGAAGTGCATGCTAGTAAATGCAAAAGTGCCAGATTAGATTAGATTTGATTTTGATTACATGGGTCAGGTTATATGGATATGTACATATGTGTTTGGGCTCAACGAAGTTTGAGCTTTGCTAGTTATTTCAAGCATCCCATGGTTGCGGGCATACTGCAACCCATTGGGCTCGAACTTTAGACACTGACTCGATACTGATCCAACATAATAATAATAATATTTTTTGTGGTGAAGTGACCCATTGAAGAGGAGTGGCCTTATGCTTTATTAAATAATAAATAAATAAATAAAACTAAAAGTGCCTTTCTTGTGTTTCAAACCTAACCCGCTTTAACTATCAAATATAAATATTGGCAAAGAAATAAAAAAAAAAAGAAAAAGTTATTATTAGTTGTATTTTTCATTCTCTCTCTTGTTTTCTGATTGGAAGGCTCAGATCAAAACGACAATAGTATCTCCTCACCAGGTGAGTCTTGCGTTCCTTCAATTCTCCTTTGGTCAAGGCGCTGCCGCCACCGCCGATTTGTCGGCGCCGGTGTTATCCCTTTTCTTTTCTTTTTCCTGTTTCTGAGGTTTCTGTTAACTGGGATCTAATAAAAATTTTGTAATTGTTTTATTACGTATATGACCGCCGTTGGATATGCATTCCGACGGATCGGATGCTGCCCGTGCTTCATAGATCTGCATCTATTTTGCTGTTGTTGGTTGTCATAAAAGAAATTTGTAATACATAGGGTGATTTTATCAAATAAGACTTAAGTTTAACAGAAAAATTATGTCTTGATAAAAGTAATCTCTTTTTTCTTTTTGAAAAATTTGCTAAATTAAGTTTTAAGGGTGTGTTTGGTATATAAGATTATGATAGGAGAGGATATTATTAATATGATTATATTAAAAGATGGCATCTTATCTTGTGTTTGTGTTCGGTGTATGTAAGGATTACGATAGGATAATTTTTTTTATTGGTAGTTGATGTAATTTTTAAGGGTATAATAGAACATGTAAGTTCAATCTCTTGGATTAAAAATAATTTTCTCCAGAAGAATTGAATCATTCTATTACAAGAGGATGATTAATCCTCCTTGCAATCCTATCCTTTTTTTAGATATAAATCAAACATAATACAAGATGATTATCATCCTATTTTATCCATCATCTTATGCACCAAACATTGTCTAGGAGAATCTGATTGATCATTTGTTAGTTGTCATTGGCAAATACCATCTTTTTCATGTTGTATTTATGTTGTGTGTTATTCAAAAGTAGACTTAATTTTCGGTTCTGCTTTTGCCGATGTGAATTTGATGTTTTTTTTCATGTTTAACGGCTGAGCATATTTTGGTCTTTCTTTTGCGTCATACTGTGTTTATAACGGTCTGACCTTAAGGCCCACTTTAATATCTAAATATCTTGGAGACTTTACGTGTCCAGCAGTGACTTCCTGAACAGCGTTTGGAGTGTTGTTGGCTCTTTGCTAATGGAGAAAGGAGTGCCATCTAGCCTTTTTGTTAATGATGGTTCCTTCATGGAGAAGTTTAAACAGCTTCAACAACAGAAGGATGAAAAAGACAAAGCTGTAGCTTTAGAGGAATCTAGACCCCCCAAAATTGTAAAAGGTTCTTCAGCTCCCAAGCCTGCTATTGCTCTTAACAAACTAGCCATGGAATATAAGCCGAATGATGCACGCAAGACCACCCAAACTCCTTCTGGAGGCAAACTTGCATTCAGCTTGAAACAGAAATCAAAGCTTGTGGCACCTCCTGTTAAGTTGGCTGAAGATGAGGATGATGAGGACCAAGCTGCAGGAAAGTTGTCAGATGACACGTCTGTTAAACGGCAAAAGTTGGGTCAATTAGATGCCTCTGAACAAGCATCAAAACAAGTGGATGTTGGTAATTGCTGCTTTTATTTATCTTGTTGTGTTACTTTTGGTGACTTGATGGTCCATAAGGACTTTACATTTTTAGGCTGCATGTTGGATACATTTCCAACTAGAATGGCCTCATGAATGTTTGAATTACTAATTTATTTTGCTTGCCGTTATGTTCTCACTGACTTAAATAGAGGTCTAGATAATAATTCCTCTTTTCTCTTCTCATAAAGGAAAGTTAAATAGTCCCCTTCATTAACTGCTGTGATTTATGAAGTCATCTGGCCATCTTCTCTGATCTTAAAGTGGTGGATGAAGAGGGCCAAACATTCTTGAATATTTCTTGTCTCATGAATGCAGCTTATACCTTAAGTACCAATCAACATTGGTGGAAAGAGATGTTCAATGAAAGATTTGGAATATGTGGCACGCCTGCTACAAGAGTAATTTGCTTTCTCTTCTTCATGCTCTCGGTATTAATCAGTTTTATAAGTGATATGCAGCACCACCTTCCCCAAGTGATCCTACTGTGAAGAAAGTTGCAGACAAACTAGCAAGTTTTGTTGCCAAAAATGGAAGGCAGTTTGAAAATATTACTCGTCAAAAAAACCCTGGAGACACACCTTTCAAGTATGTTCACTTTCGCATCAATCTTTTTGGCACAGTATGCTCTGTGTCCATATGTATGAGAGCATTTTTTTTTTTTTTCTCTTTATTTTTGGTTCCCGTGTTTGGTGTAAATATTTGATATTTTACTGTTCCCAGATTCCTTTTTGATGAGAGCTGTTCTGATTACAAATACTACGAATACCAGCTTGCTGAAGAGGAAAAAGCTCTTTTACAGAACAAGGAATCACAAACTTCTCAAGGTGTTTAGCATCTTTTCTCCCCCTAGCCATAGTGTTAGATAGCAACTCTTTGTAGTTGTGTGCTTAGAGCTTTATTATAGTTGTATGCTTAGAGTTTTAACTGGAATTTTTTGTGGAATGTTTTTTTTTATGTTAAGAGTTCCTTTTGCTATTATTTCTTTCTTGTTACTTCAATTTTCAGTTCTGCACCAGATAATAAAGATTGGAGTTACTGTTCATGCACAATTAGGCTAGAAATGACTTCATGAATCTTAACAAATATAAGATTGTTGAATATTAGAAGGGGATATGCCTCATCCTTCTCTAATAACATGATGGATGCTTTATATAGGTGGTATCAGCATTTCAGCTTCTAAGTCCACAAGCAGTTCTCTTAGGTCAGCTCTGCAGAAATCAAGTTATCAAATGCCTGCCTCTGCTTTGTATGAGAATAATGAGGAGCCTAGATCTTCTGTGACTTCAGTGAGAAAGCAGGTGATGATGCTTGAGATACTGCTGTTAGGTTTTTTTTTTGGGGATGCATATGAGTTTGGCTTTCCTTGGCTTGAAATGTCTAGGGTTATCAAGATTTTTGAACTAAAAATTGTCTGTGTTTCATTTGTCTAGCAAATTCTTCAAATGTATACTCTATGTCTATCTGTCTGTTTAAAGGTTGTTGATCATGGTTTCTTCTAAGTAAAATGAATGAAAGTGTTATTGTCCTGCTATTGGGTTTTAATAGTAACTGTACTATTTAATACTAATCTACACCAATGACTGTCTATTAATGTAAAAATCATAATTTTTGTTAAATCATCCTTCTGGAGTCAGTTTAGTATAAACAACCTTAGAATATTATAACCTTGCTGTTGGATTTTGATACCAACAGACATTATGAACGGACAATTTTGTTTACCTGATGTTATATATACCCGTTTTTCTAAATGGCAGGCCCATCCAGTGCACCACCTGGTGCAGATCCTATAGCAATGATGGAGTTTTACATGAAGAAGGCTGCTCAGGAAGAGAAGATGAGACTGCCTAAGCAGTCCAAAGATGAGATGCCGCCACCTCCTTCACTTCAAGGTGAATTTTATCCTGATTGAAATTAAATGTGTGTGTGCTTGTTTGTTCACATGGGCAGGATTTGTTTTCTTTTCCTTAGTGCCAAAACACATTATCCTTATTCTGTTGGCTTAGCAGCTCCTGTGAAGAAAGGTCATCACATGGGTGATTATATCCCACAGGAAGAGCTTGAAAAGTTCATGGCTGCCTGCAATGATGCTGCTGCACATAAAGCTGCAAAGGAGACCGCAGAGAAGGCAAAGATTCAATCTGATAATGTTGGGCATAAACTCTTGTCGAAAATGGGCTGGAAAGAAGGTGCTTTTTATCTACTCTCTCATTCTCACACACTTGAGTGCATGCTCATCTCTGGCCTGTGTTAACCTAACCTATAGTTTCAAGCTCTATTTTAAATTCTGGTATAAATAATGGATCATAAGAACTGAGATCATCACAGAAGAAGGATGTAAAGCTTGTGGCAGTTATTCTTTTCTGTACTTTGCAATCAAGTGATGATACAAATGCCAGCATTCTTTTCTTATTGTTCATTTTGCCTTTGTGGTAGTATTAGCAACTATTTATTAAATACACATCTTGTATCAAGCTTAAAGAGGTTTGTGAACTTCACAAGTTTATTAGCTTGCTTGTATTCATGCTGTGAGCTTAGTAGAGGCGACCTTATTTTTCTTAGTCAGATTGCTTCAGATGGTGAATTTCCTTTCAGCTCTATTCACTGCAGTTTAGTGAAGCATGCTTGATTGCTTTCATATGTTATGTGCTCTTAAGCAGATCTGATTGTGTTTCTGAAATGATTTGAGTCCTTGGACTACCGCTGCCAACAAAAAAAAAAAGAAAAAAGATATTTGCCTTTTGTTATGAGTTGCATCCATTATTCTCTTTAGTGAGAAGTTTAATACCTTTGCTGCATGGTTTTCAGGTGAGGGTTTAGGGAGCTCCAAAAATGGTATTTCAGATCCAATCATGGCTGGTGATGTAAAGATGAACAATTTGGGGGTTGGTGCCCATCATCCTGGAGAGGTGACTCCAGAAGATGATATATATGAGCAGTATAAGAAGCGAATGATGCTTGGTTATCGACATAGACCAAATCCTTTGGTATTTGATTCATGCCTTGTTCCTTTTCTAATTATAAGATTCTTTTTAGCCTGTGGTACAAATCTTATGTTGACTGTCCAACAGAGTTAATATTTCCCCCCTGAAGTTACTATGATTGAGGATTATTCGACTTGATCCAATATTGGTCTTTTGTGCAGAACAATCCTCGAAAAGCATACTATTGAACAAAGTTGTGGAAGAAACCTACTTGTGGTGGCTGGTTGGAGGAATAACATAAGAGTTAAACGTGCTTATTGTATTATTTTTTTTAATTTTATTTTGTGACTTAAACTTTTCGATGGAGATTGCCTTTATTTATGTTACGTTTATTCAGTGTTGAATGACAAATGGTGTTTCTACCCAAGACTGTTAACGGGTGATTTCAATCATTATCTGTCTCCTAGTATCAATCAAGGGAAATCATGTATGGAATGATTAGGAAGCTATGCTTACTAATCTTGGCAGGTCCTTCTATGTTAGGCACTTAATTCCGCCTTCATTTAGCCATTTTTTGGCTATCCACTAGAGGCATATGCCATTGAAGAAAGGCTACAACTGTTTTGTATTGGCAGCTTTATTTTCCTTTAAAAACCCCCTGTACAAATAGAATAACCCAGCTCATCCTCACTCTGTCTCTCTGTGGTCTGAGCAGTGTTAATGAATCACTTAGCATTTGAGTGAAGGCAGAATGACTGTGTGTCCTGATGCATTTGATGTAGCCGTAAATGAACCTCATTCTTTTAATCATCGGTTTGATTCGCCGGATGACAAGTGACATATTGAAAGAATAGAATACAACTTTCATGTGGCTCGGTTACCCTCCACAAACTATCAGATACAAAAGTTTAACGAAGTATCGTATCTGAAACTCTTTACTTTTTCTTTTTTTTTTGGTGAGTAGTGAATAGTGATTAGCCTAAGCAGCTAGCCCCCCCTGATGGGGATTATCCGAATTCTCACCTTACATAAGAATTATTAGCAGACCCTGGTTCATTTTGAGGTGAACTTTTCAGGACCCAAAGTTGGGAGATGCTTGGGGTTCCATTACAATTCAACAAGATGTCATAATAAAAAGAGAATAAAAGTGTTGGTTGGGAATATGCCACCCAGGAACAGGATATGTACTATACTAGCTATCAACACCATGACGTAAATGCTCCAAAGTAGATGTTAACAACTCATCCCCAAATGCACAAGCCCATGCAAGGCAGTATAAATTCGTCTATTCTTGGCATGGAACAAATTTTTGGTTCACTGCTTCTGCTTCTGCTTGCATATCACTTTTTCTTTTTGGTTTTCTAGATTTAACGATTCCCTCTTCCTGATACTGATGGAAAAGAACCTCACCCATCTCATTAATTTTTACTTCCTCCCTCCCTGTCACTGCCACTTGAATTCATAAATCTAAAATGAAAAACTTTCTCACAAATAAGGAAAAAAACCAAGCTACGTACCAAAATACTATTACTCTATCTATGATCTGACCAATGTTTGCAAAATAATACTACTAGTGTTTACTATTGATAAAAGAAAGCATAATTTGAACTTCCCTCGAGAGTTATCCAACGTGGCTCCACAGATCATGCTTGCAGTTGCGATTAATATTATTTCAAAGGTACAGCTAGCTTAAACAAGCTTTACTTGAAGATTTATTATAAACAACTTTTGAATATGAGTATCCTTTCTTATTCATTATATATTTATATAAGAACTACTATATGTATGTTGAAATTAATTGCATAGAAAACTGTGGCTCTTTCCTGTCACGCAGAACCATAAAGTGCTTACCAGATAATTTTCTTCTGTCTAAAATGTTCTTTACTTCCATCAAAACGGTAGATATATGTGGCATATATTTAGGAACAAAAGTATTTGTTTGATTATGTATTTTGATAGAGAAAAAAGTACTCCAAAAAATGGAAGATATTCCAACATAATATTAGCGAACAAATGCTTCAGCTTTCTATCACCAACATCTAACCTCTTCATGATCATCATCTAACTAGAGAATATGTTGCTGCTCCAATCACCATAATGATATCCCTCCGTTTGCTGGTTACCACTAAACTAAAAAAGGGCTCTTTCATTAAATTTGTTTGATTGGTGGAAGAATAACATACAAAATTAGGTCTTAAAAGGCTGAAATCTTCATCATAATCTTGCTTTTAGCTTTTAACCTGTGTTTTTCTTCAATAGATTCGCATTCATCGATCTTCTATATCTAATTGGAACGTACATCTTATGCCAGCTCTTGCCTTTGATAAATAATTGTATTGTAGTTTTTAACAGTTATCAATGAAAGATTAATGATAGTAAAAGATAAATTAAATTCCAAAGAAAATCTCATTTGGAAAAGGAGATTTGACTTAATTAAGCATAACTAACCTAATTTTGACTTCCATACCATTTTTTTTTTTTTTAAAAAAGCAAGCTAATGTTTCCTATATTATTTTTTTCAGACATAAGACATGCTATGGATGATTTAAGTTAACGTGAAACTCCATAAAACCACAGCTTAGACGCTTAGACATCAACTTTAATAGACCTATTACTAACGGCTCACAGGACAAAAAAGAAACCACGATTTGTTTTTCAGTTTCCTGTATTGTAAGTTGAAAGTATATATTCTTCTTCTACGGACATAAGTTGGAAATAAGATGGTCGACTCATTTTTTTTTTTTTGTTTGTTTGTTTGTTTTGGATGAATGACTTTCTTTCTTTTCTTTCATTAATTAAGAGTTAAGAGGGTTTACATTGGTATCAACGTCAACTCATTACTTGGTGTAAGAGGAGGCATGGATAATTAATTTAGATCATGAGATCAGCATGAATGGTGGTTTACTCATTAATGAGCTGATTATGAAACTAATGGAAATTGCTTTCATTACTATTAGCAATTAGTAACTTTGTTTGAACGTTGATTGATGAAATTCATAATATATATATATATATATAATAAAATTAATATAAACATAAATCACAAATCAGTATAAGAAGGTAGGAAAGGGTTTTGGTTTTGGTTTTGGTTTTGGTTTTTGTTTTGATTGATTGATGCTTTTATAACTAAGCAATTAGAATTAGGGTTAATTTCCGTTGATAAATAGGCAAAATTAATTAAGAAACAACCTGTCTGATTTTGTCTTTTTTCTAAACATCCATTGAACTTTGATATTTGTCTCGTGACAATGTCAAAAAACTCAACTCAACATGTCCTATACAATCAATGATGTGAAGATAAGGGAAAGTTAACACTTTTAAAATATTGCTATTTGCTATGTCAACTCATCTAATTCCAGCAAGACTGGAATTTCTTTGCTGTTCACCAATTTTCATTTTAATCATATGATATACATTAAATATTGAATTATGACGATTTAAATTAAGAATTAACACTTTACCAGACGGTGCAGTTGTTGAAACTTTCATTCATGATCAATTTTAGAACCAACTCTAAAAAAATATTTGATTCTATTTATCAATTAGAGATTAATTCAATTGATAAAAATAATTATTTTTAACGTAAAGTTTTGGATTTGAGTTCACGAGGATGTATCTTGCTTTAATATAAAGTATTGAATAACCTATCTTGGATTTTTCTCGCAAACAAACCGATCTTAGCCGAGTATTAAATGCAATTTCTCAGCAACCAATCCCAACCAGAAGACTTTGAATTTCAAAACCGCTGTGAATACTACAAAATATAGCTCATCGAAGAAACAATGAGCCAGCCAGCGGCATCAGAAATCAGGAATTTGTAAATGGATAAGGCTGCCAATGTTTTTATATTATATTATTGTTACTTTATTTATTCTCACAAAAGATAAGAAGTAAAGTGCCCTACAACTGCAAGATTGAGATCTGAGATTTCCATTGACCCAAAGAGGCCCCCATTCACTTCACGCGCACTAACTTAACCTACCATCTTAGACTTGACACGCTTGGCTTGACCACTAGGCAAAGCATCATGCGCTTTCAAGTCCAGGTAAGGTTGTTTTCTAACTTTTCTCAATTGATGAAACAAATCCATTACAAAAAATGTAAAAATAGCATCATCTGTCTGTTTGCACAAAACATCGTTTTCTGTTTCCACGAACAGATGCTGGTTCGCTGAAGCATCCTTGAAGCCTGTAATTTCAACTCAAATTCAGGGTAGTTTAGTCAATCAATTTGCTTATAATTGCATGTAGTGTAACATGGTCCACATTACATCATCATTGCCATGTCCGCTATAAGTACCCCATATCTGTGGTGTTTGCGAAACAGTATAGTTCATAACATGTACCTCAAGGGGAGACAAGATTCTTAGCCTCTGCTGCCCTTTCCTCCTTTCTTTTTAGTTCTACTCTCTCTTTTGGTTTTCCTCAATTTCAGTGTTCTCTGCAGTTAAAAGAAAGAGTTGTTTAGATTCAGACCCATAAAGCGGCAGGTGCTTCGATTGATAAACGCTGCTTCCTCTTGTATAAAACCTGTACGTACATGTTTATATATCTGCTTTGCTCTTTGAGGATTATTTTGTCTTGAAGCAAAACGGTCAAAATTCAAGAAAGATATTAAATTAACGAAAAAACGGTTTACTTTTCTTGTACACTATTCCATCCATGACCCATTTATTTCAGTGTTTAATTAGAGCTTAATCTTTAACATTGAATACTATATCAAGGCTGGTGTGAATGCAAGAAGTTTTCAATGGGGAGTCTCCCTGAGATGTAATTTCTTTTACCTTATCTTTAGGCAGCTATTGCGTGTCTTCTCCAATTCTGAGGAAGAAGCAAGCTTCAGAAGTTTAAGCAAAGTTTAGAAGTCAGGAACTTAATTGAGAAGATCAAGCAACCTTCACAATTGGAATCTTCTATAATAATTCAGGTATGGATATTCGTTAAATAACTTGTGCTTCATGCTTCGCATGAAATCTAACATAAAAGGAAAAAAAATGGGTTGGAATTGAATGATCATTGACGTATGGTTTTGGTTGTTCGCAGGATTAATCATCAAAAGACATGAGTGTTTTATATAGCTCTAATTTCAAGTTTCCAGAAGCAGAACTGAGAAAGAACCAAGAAATCATGGATACGAGTCACTATCTTCAACAACACCACCAGTATAATTCTGGTCTAACTTGCTATCGCTCGGCGCCAAGCTCATTCCATGAGAACCTTGTCAACGGTAGTGTCACCGCAAGTGGTACGGAATTCGAAGATTATCGAGATATTCGATCCACTAGTCCTGAAATGGAAACATTCTTTATGTTGTCTTCTAATGGTTCAGGCAATTCTAATTGCCATGATATGAAAGAATACGAAGAGAAATCTGTGAAGCAAGAAGATTCACTGTCTATTTCTCTAGAGAATGGCTTTTCTAGTAGTTCAGAAGTGCTGTATCAAAGCTTACCGGTGCAGAGTTTGGCAAATGGTAATTCAGTTGATGTTGCTAATAGCGTAGAGAGTTCATTTGGTCTTAGTAGCTCTCTGGGGTTGGAGAATTCGATGCAAGCAAAACTGGGCAATGGAAATGGCTCCAATCTTGCTAGGCAAAGCACCTCCTCCGCTGATTTTTTCTCCAACCTAGGCTTAGATAATGGTACTTTCCTTTTTATCTTGCTCTTGATCAACTTTCGAAGTTCATTTGTTTATTAGAGAGAAATTTCTTGCTTCCTACGTTTTAATTTTCTTCTTTTGTTTACTCGTGGTGATGCTATGGTTAATTATTACTTCAAACTAATAGCCATGCACTTCTTAATGATGATAGGTTTTAATGGAATCAGAAAAATGAGTACTTGCCGGGCTTGCAATGGTACCAATGATGAAACTACATCTACAAGTAGATTGTATAGTAATCATGTCAGCTTTTCCTCTGGGCCATCTTCATGTTCAAGGCCAATGCCTCGAATTGCTGAAGTTGAGAACGAAAGTGTGAGGGTGAGTGGTCCTGAGAATGGAAGCTTGGGCAATGTTAATGGTAGCAATGGGCACTTCATACCCAACTTGAGGACTGATTCTTGGAATAATGCTTCGCTCGGTGGCCTGAAGAGAGCCAGAGAAAGTGATGGAGACTTGTTTTGTGGTTTAAGCAGATCACAAACTCAGGTAGCTAGCAATTTCAATTTGCTTGATTTTCTTTATTCTGCCAATATTGTTTGTTTGATTACTAATATCATTAAATTTTAATCAGAATCGGGATTGCAGAGACTGTTCTACTGCTTTAACACACCATTTGAGTTTACCTCAGACTTATGCGGAGATGGCTGTTGTAGAAAAGCTTTGGCAGTTTCAAGACTCGGTCCCCTGCAAGATTCGAGCAAAAAGAGGTTGCGCTACTCACCCACGCAGCATTGCTGAGAGGGTATATGATTCAATTTCATCATTTATATCTTCATTCATATCTCAGTTTTTCTTGATTGAGCTTAGTGTCCCACTCCCACCCAAACTATAAGTACCCTTTCAAATTTGCCAGAGTTTATCATATTCATCAGTCAGTCTTCAATTCCATTTGTATACAAATTTAGGTGAGAAGAACAAGGATTAGTGAAAGAATGAGGAAACTCCAAAGTCTTTTCCCGAACATGGACAAGGTAGTTTATTTGACCCTATAATATATCTCACTCACTCTCTCTATATATACAGATCCTTTTTTTTTTTAATTTATATTAATAATTAGAGGAACTCAATTCTCTGTTTTCTTTTGGACAGCAAACAAACACAGCAGATATGTTAGATATGGCGGTTGAGTACATTAAAGATCTTCAGAAGCAGGTCAAGGTAAGTAGTAATAAAAGATGCTGTCTCAAAAAAAGTTTCACATGAAACTGGAACCAGCACTTCTTCTAACAAAAATGATGTTTCTTTTTTCTTGCAGACACTCACAGATACGAAAGCCAGGTGCAGCTGTTCAAGCAAACACAAACCCTATTTAAATCTTTCTACCTGATTTATTTTTGTACAGATAGCAATAGCAGTAACAACATGGGTAAAGCTGAGAAGGGGGCAAAATTGCTAACTAGTCATTTGTAATGCATCGAAGGAATAATAGGGTGTTGAGAGAGAGCTTGTGAATGTCAAGTAGATTTGCTGCTAGAGCCTTTGTGTAAGATCTAGTAGGGGCTATATATCTTATATATTTGATTAATGTATTCACATTCTATGCCAACCCCAATATCAGCTTGATTATCACCTGGTTTTTGTCATTTTTTGTTGATGTAAGTGACAAACAAAATTGGATAGGGGACAGAGTTAAAAGGATAGATTAGAAATTGAGAAAAAAGGTGACAAACTAAAGGGTGGAATTGATGTAATGAACAAGTAGCCATATCCTAAAGCAATGGATGTGACGTAATTGGTTATGCGCGCGTATGATCGTTAAAATGCATTACTAATTTGGTTTCATTTGATTTAATGTATTTTACATGAACATCTAGCTTGTAATATCTATCTGACTCAATCTGATATGGTTCTGATTGTCCAGCTCCCATTGTGGCCAAACAGAATTTTCTCAATTATAAAAATAAATAAATTAATAAAGTAATGATAAATTGCAGTGTTTTGCTGAAATCTTTATTGGATTTTTCCACTAAGTGTAATGGATATAATTCAATTCTGTTGTCTAGTGAAGATATTGCTACTGGTTTAATGCAAATGTCAAAGAGATATGATTTGTATGAGGAAAGTTTATAGATTAAAATTCATCAGGATATGATTTGTATATGTTTTATTTTACACTAGCTGAATGATGTTTCCCTTTTGGGGATTTTTATAAGACTGCCAGATAATATTAGTAACTAATAGAAAGAAGAATTTAAGCTAAAATTACGCTTTTAGCCTCACAAAGACTGGCAATGACCCTAAATTTCTAAAAAAAGCATTACCATGGCTTCATAGAGGAGGAAGACACATACTTACTATAAAAGAAAATGGAGACAATGAACTCTAACCAAGGGAAGTAAGCTATAAAATGCAACTAACTAAGCAATCTATTTAAAAGAAGAAGAAGTTCCGAAGGAAGAAGTTCCAGAAGCCAAACCCACGAGCTTATACATAATTATAATAATACTTAATTTTTAACGTCCATATATCCCTTTTATTTGGGCAATTTACCAATAGCAATAACTGGGAAAGGTTCTCACGAGCTCTCAACAGACTTGCTCGTAAAAATCATACTTGCTTCTTCTTCGTTATTTGTGTTGGCAGTGCATTTCTTAGGCAGCTGCAGCACCAGATATGGGAGGGCCATTTACAAGAACACACGAACAAGGTTGCCCCAGAGCTTTTATGGCATTGCAGCAGGACTCACTTGGTGGAACGGGGCTAAAGGAAGAAACTGCAGCTCTGCAGGGTATTAGCTGCACAAGTGCTGAGAAGAATGTGCGGCTACAAGCAGTGCCCTCGCCTTGTTCCAGGAAACCTGTTGGGACCAACACAAAAACCAAAAATGGATGAGCCTAGGAGTCAAAAAGCTTCATATTTGTGCCCAACTTCTCTCCCTCAGAATGCTTTCCTCTAACAAGGAAATTGTCTTGCACAGCAGACATCTATGTATATGAATGGCACTCGTGTCATGCCAGTAGGTATCTCAATTCTAACCACATATCATACGTGTCATACCATTTCTATGTTAGTTCTGCTTTTAATCTGACTTCCACAGAGAAATCAACTTAAACTTCCTGCACTGGTAAACCAGTTAGTAAACCAAAATTTCAGACCCTTTTTAACTTGTGAAATTTTGAGTGCGACTGATACAGGTTGCTGAGAGCTAAAACGTGTCAAAGAGAAGGATTATGTTAGTCAGCTGTTCTTAGGCATACCCTGTCACGGTCAATTTTGCTGCATCAGAAATTGATGCCACTGGATATAAAATGGCTTTCCTTGAGTTTCTAACACTCGCGAAAATACCTGTTTTATGATCGTCTGGATGTTGACCAAGCCACAAACTAATCAGGTTGCTTCAGAAGTAGAGATTGAACTGCACTTAGCATAACTGCTCTCACTCCTTCCCCCGCCCCAATCAAAAATGAAAAAGGCAAAACAAATTGCGATCCATGCTCTTAAATCAATGCTAATTTAATATTTATACATACATGACATTCAACAGTGAAATGACTGCATCAATTATTGTTTAAACAAACAATGGCAATGAAATTGAATTTATGTACCAAGAAAATCACTGAGACATTGAATAAAGCAAACGACAAGGCAATGAATTTGCAATAATAAATAAAAATATCACACCATGTGACATTTGATATACCATAATGTCAATCACCTTTCTTGCAAACAATTATTTAAACCTATGAAACATTATTTGCATCTCTTGAACAACAATAATGTATGATTTCTTACATAACAAGAAACAATTTGTCATGATTTCCCTTTATTTCCTTTCAGATTAATTACTGCAAGCTCTTGTTCGACAAATTCTCCCGCACATGTGGGTGGATATTTGCTTGCAAGGGATGATTCTGCAAAGTGTCCTAGAGGCTTTAACACAGCATCCGAAGCTATGTGTGCAAACAACTGCACAAGACCAAAAAATATATCATAATTATTGATTTTTCAAATGCTGACATGATTGCTAGAATATGTTTCAGTTCACTCACCGTAGAGGATACTCTCCATAGGCTATGATTTTGCTCCGATGCTAACTTTATAGCATCAATTGTCCTCTTTGTGACAACAACTTCATGCATGCCAGCATTGCACTCACCAGCCGTCAACCATTCTATCTGCATATGACAAAGGAACGGCAAAAAAATACTTATGTGCATAATGCATCATGCTTAACTCAATAAACCAAGAAAGAAGTTAGTTTAATCACCATCCACAAGTTTCAAAAATTACAGCTGAAAATAATGATAGAATTGAGAAAGTTCAAAAACTTCATGAATCTGTAGCTTTTCATCCTCAGTCCAATGGCTGAGAGGTGCAAAGGGCAAAGCCCAACCACAAAAGCCAAGACTTTTATTTACATTTTCTCTACCATCTATGGTACTAGACCATTTACAGTGAGCAATACTGTCTCTCAGTCTTAATGCACAAAGCATTATGTATTCTTTCTAATAATAAGACATAAATGGGAAGATGGCGAGAAGAGAATATCAATGATTGGAAAATCACCATGCAGAAAAAGTAAACCAACTTTTCTGATCATTGGAGCAGGGCATCCATGAAAGTGGTTCTTTTATTGAGAATATATTATATTATTTACCAAGAAAAGCCAACAACTTGGTTGGCCAACAAGTTCACAAACAATACTATTATCATCATTAAGCAATAGAAATTAGTGCTCATGTTCTTACCTGCTTCCCGGCCTGAATTAGAAGACATCCTAAAGGAACCTTCACCTCAATCTTTTGCCCATTCCTTAACCAGATGTTTAGACCAGGGAACCTACTTCTGCCATGGATAGTTAGAAAGTTAAGGTCATAGTGGTAGCCTGCAAACACAGTGCCCTCCTGCCCATATCGTCTGAGGTCACTCCCTGTTGGAGCTAGAAGATGTGGCCCCTAGATTCGGTGGGAACAAGGATTTCTTGTCAAGTGTAAATGATAGATAAGTGATAAGTTTCCTAATGAAAAATGAAAAAGAATATGATGTGTGCCATGACTCTATTGCAAACAAAGAATACATATCATAGCATGCCATGACTCAAAAACAATGATTACTAGCATTGAGAGATAAAGAATTTCACGAAGGTGGCACCAATATGCTTATCCCACCATGAAAAAGTAGGGATATATAGGTCTTACTAGGAAAAAGAAGGAAAAAAAAGAAAGAGAGAAAACCCTGAAAAGTAATGGGTGAGCCTGCATGGCAACAAAGCTTTAAATAGACCATTCACAATCTTCATTTCTCTATCCCTATTATTCCACATACTCTATATCAGAAGAATGAACAGCAGTAAGTTGAAAGGCAAACATCAATGTAGGAACTAAAAATCTAAAAAAGTTGAATCTGAAACTGGTTAACATTACATACCTGCTTCATAAGGGAAGTAAATGCGTCTTTTGGCAGCCCAAATCCAATTGCTGCCATTTCAGCAACAGCCTATGCCCGAATAGAGACATACTAACTTCAGTTTTTAGATGAAACGGATCATATAAAGGCAAGCAAATCAAATAATCAACTCACCTCTATTGCTGATATCATTTTGTATCCCCAAGAGTCCATGGTCTCTTTCCATTCAGAGAAACCTTCAGGTATGACAGGTTCTGAATTAAGTTCCTGCAAGGGAAGAAAGTGGAAGTTAATGAAACTAGAATAAACCTTCATATTCGAACATTTTTGCAAGAGAAGGATAAGAGACCTGAAAGCGGGTATTGAAAGGGCGAGGGCCCACTCTCCACATGTATCGCCACTTGGGATCAGGCCCCTTGGGAGTGTATGGTTGGTACTCTTTAGGCATTGCCCTTAACTTCTCTTGCATTTCTTCATCGACCAAGCTTCTTGGCACTTCCACTCCCTCTGGTGTTACTCCAACCTGTAATCTCCATTTACATAAAAATTTAAATCAAAATGTTATATGGTTTTTAGTACAATATAAACAACTATTCAAGCAAGAACTAAGAAGCTACAAAATAATATTTCCTTAAGCATTTCCCCATTTTGGAAATATAATAGAACCCTTCAGTTAGGTGGAGATTTTAGCATCTTTTCTTTCTTTTCAAGAAAGCAAAAGAACGTAATTGAGTCAATTTATAATAGTTATAAGGCAGCACCTCAATAAGGCACTAAGAAGTTTTAAAATTTATAAATTAATTGAATGCTCTCATAAAATCTTATCACGGCAATGCAATAAACATCCATACTTTTCAGAAATCTCCTCTCTTTTCCACACATCAGTCGAATTTGTTTCGCTTTCTTACACTAAGAAATCAAATAAACTAACATAAAATTATTAACTTATTTTCTAAAAAAACAAAAAAATTAAGCAGCTAGTCAAATTCTAGCAAGCATCCGAATACCGAAGACTTTCGATGGTAGTTTTCGGTGGCCAAACAAAAACTGCTCAAAAGTCGAAATAAAAAGAAGCATAAAATAAAATAAAATAAAGTTATTTTTGGGGGAAAAGAGTGAAAAAGGGGACCTGGTAATGTAAATAGGGACGCTCCTGCAAGCGCTTGAACTCGTCTGGCTTCTCGAAGTACTTCTCCATCATATCAATGAACCGATCATTGTCTTCAGCCGTACACCGCGGATCCTGAACCAGTAACGCCCCCGTTTCCTTCAGCAGGCGACTCACCTCGCGGCACAACTCGTTGAGTTCACTCGCTCGCTTTGCTGATTCACCTTCCCGATTCCCAGCGGTCTCCAAATACGTTGCTAGATCTATCACCGGTAAGTCCATTTATGGATTTCTTTTTTTCTTTCCTTCTAAAAAAATGTGGTGTTGAAATATAGATTTTGAATTTTCTTCGTTTTTTCCTTATAAAAAGAGACAAGTAAAGCGTAGAGACAGAGGAAAGGAATACTGTGGGCCCTTTTGTCGTGGCGGGAGAAGGGAGTTTTATTTTCAGGCTATTTAGGATTGTTTCATATAAAACTCGAATTATAATTATAATTATTGACTTGAGTTTGAATTTAAATAATTTAATTTATTAAATTAATTAAATTTAAATATTTTAATATTAAATTCAATTAATTTATAAAATTAATTGAGTTTTAAATTTTAATATATTTTTATTTTTTAATAAATATTTATTATTTTATTTTTATATATTAATTTAAATTTGAGTTCAAATTTAAACGTATAATTAAATTTGAAATTAAACTCATTTTTATCAAATAAATTTAATAAAATAAGTTTATCTTGAATCAAATTTAAATTTAAAGATTAAAATTCGGTTAAATTTAAATTGAATTTTGAATCAAACATAAATTTTTTTTATCAATATGATTTATTTTTATTAAATTATATATAATATTATATTATAAAAAATATTACAACTATAGCATTGAATAGTGTAATAGCTAATAAGTTATCAAACACAAACACTACTAGCTATACTTGTGGCTTATTCTCTAAATTGATCAATATATGATTCCTAATAAAGGCCTCATTGAAATATGTCAATATTTCAAAAAAAAAAAATTGCAATTTGCTTATTTGCAAGAAACCAAAAAAAGAAATACCTAACAAAGAAAAGGCCCAATAGAAGCCCAAGAAGATTGGGTTTCACTACTACTCTTAAGTCCTAAGTCGCACTCCTATCCTATATAATAACAGTACTAATCAAAATGAAATGAACAAATAATTTCAGTGCTCGGCCAAAATTTCGCCGCCGCCGCCACTGCCCTCTTTCTGCTTCTTCTTCTAAAACCTCCGCTTTTCCTTTTTGTTCTTAAAAAACACAAAGACAGTGTTTATCGTTTGCGATTGAGATTGAAGTTTCTTGGTAATAATTTTCTTTTCTCATTTCACTCTACTGTTTGGATGGTACCACAGGGAAATGGAAACTTCATCTTTTCTTTTTTGTCTTATTATCTTTTGCGTCTGTGTATAATTCTGAAAAATTAACCTGAGTTGCAACCCACAATTTTAGTGGTTTGGGGATTGAAGTTTCTTTCTTTCTTTTTTTGTTGCGGGTATTTTGGCTCTCATTTTCCATATTTCACCATTTTGGTGGTGACCCATACAGAATATGATATTGGTCGCTTTTGTACATAAATAAATATGTATATATCAAAATTTTAATGTCCTGCTTTTACTGATTACTATAAGATTGATTTATATCGAGTTTGCCTTTTATTAGGTGAATATAGGAATTCTCTTTTTCTTTAAAAAATGTTTTCTTTTAGAGTTCAACCACTGTGGTACCATTGTATGATATATATGAGACATCGTGTATTGGTGTCGTATAAAATATTGAAATTCTTGTGTTCTTGTCATGCTATACACGAAAATTGGGTGTCAAAACATGAAATTTATTTTTTTGGTTTTGTTAAATCCGTATATAGTTATTGCTAAAATTTTAAATCGCATCACCTTAAATGTCTTTTATTCATATCATATTTGTCTCACGTCATCATGTCATACTTTAGATTGCCATATTATATATTTGGTTTATGGGCGTTCATGCTAGTGTATCATTGCTTTATTTCAATGTGATAATAGCGCTTTGGGTGTTTAACACTGCATTCTGACTGTACAAGTTTTGAAAATTCCTTTTTTTTTCTTCCTTCTACTATATCCAGTGTTTGAATAGAATTCACAGCATATTATTTATATTCTTTTTAAAATTAGAAAAAAAGGGCATTATACACAGTTAGACATAATATTTGTTTGTGTGTAAAGCAGCCAATCGTTGTAGAACTTTTCTGAACTCTTTATATGCTGATAAATAGGTATTGGTATCAGGTTCGTGCAAATGGCAGGCAAATCTAACAAGGGAAGGAACCGGAGAGGGTCACACAATTCATCAACTGTTTCAGAGCAAGCTGTATCATCTGATACTGTCTTGAAGGATAATGTAATTGCTTCTGAGACTCTGAAAGTTGACTCTAATGGAATTCCAGACATGGTCGAATCGTCTGGTCCCAAGTCAGAGTTGACAGAGCATGAAACTTTGCAAACGTCAAGCCAACCAAAGCAAGGTGGATTTGCATGTGTCATTCCAGATTATTATTTTTACTATGATGGCATTTTATTGGCATATCCCTATCACCTCAAAAATCTTATGACTATTTCCTTTTTCAAGAAATTTATAGCATAATGTTTTAGATGAGGAGCTTCAATATTTTCATACATCTAGAAACAATAATTATGTCATACATTTCAATCATTTATATGTGTTTACAGGTGTATTTTTCGAAAGTCTGAGAAATTGTTGATAAACATGTTTCCTCAAACAATTTTAAACAGATGAATCTTCATTATTAGTACCGTTATATGTTTTAAATGTATCCAGCTTACGTTAACAATGTCTTGTTGCTGTTGTTTGTATAATATCTAAATTTAGTCTGTTGTAGGGTTCTGATGAATGCTTCCTAGATTGCTGTTGACTCGCCTTTTTCTCTTATTCTATGCTAATGCAGGTGACCTTCATCTTTATCCAGTGTCTGTTAAAACACTAAGTGGCGAAAAGCTTGAGCTGCAAGTGAGCGAACTTTATTATGAAACTATCTCTTCTGTCTCTCTCTCTTTCTCTGGTTTGCAGTTGTGTGTTTCTATGGGTGGCCGTGCATACACATTTGTGTGTGGATTATTTCTCATTGGGTTACAATTAAAACGTGAATTCTCTATTCACATACATACCTTATTACTGATGTTGTTTAAATTGCTGAATTGATTATTTGAATATGCAGCTGAATCCTGGAGATTCTGTCATGGACATACGACAGTTCCTTCTTGATGCTCCAGAGACCTGTTACTTCACATGCTATGATTTACTGCTGCACGTTAAAGATGGTTTAACTCATCATTTAGAAGATTATAATGAAATTTCTGAAGTAGCTGACATTACTATTGGTGGCTGCTCCTTGGAGATGGTTGCTGGTATACTGACATTTTTTTTTTCCATTTTATGGTTTTAAGGTTTATATGTGCACTCTAAACTGAAATAGTGTGGCAGCTTTATATGATGATAGATCTATCAGAGCTCATGTTCACCGCACGAGAGAGTTGCTTTCCCTTTCTACACTTCATGCCTCACTCTCAACATCGCTTGCGCTGCAGTATGAGAATACACAAAGTAAAGCTCCAAATTCAGGAGGTTTGAAATTGGACCTTAAGTCACTATCCATGTCACATATTTTCTTTGTTTTACTATCTTATAAAGTTTTGGATTTTGATTTTCAATTTTATTTTTATCCAGATGCTGCAAGAACTGACGTTTCAGAGCTTGATGGCCTCGGCTTTATGGAGGATGTTGCCGGATCGTTAGGTAAATTGTTATCTTCATCTTCAAAGGAGATCAAATGTGTTGAGAGTGTTGTTTTTTCATCCTTCAATCCTCCACCAAGCTATCGAAGGTAAAATGCTGATATTTCTTTTCTTTAAAATACTTCTGTGCTTCACCTATTTCTTGAGCTTTTTTTTTGTTGAATGAGTTTTGACATTAATGTTGAATGAGTATTAACAACACATTGTAACTTTGTTGGAGACAGGCTTGTAGGGGATTTGATCTATTTGGATATAGTAACATTAGAGGGTAGCCAATACTGTATTACGGGAACCACAAAGATGTTTTATGTCAATTCAAGCACAGGGAATGTTCTTGACCCAAGACCAAGCAAAGCTGGTTCTGAAGCAACAAGTCTCATTGGACTCCTGCAGAAAATTAGCTCTAAGTTCAAAAAAGGTAACAGAATATGTAAAAAATCTCATAACTGGTGTTAAAGGTTGAAATTTTCTAGTACCATTTACTTTTCTTGAATAATTGTTTCCTTTTGTGTACTTGTAATGAAGCTTTCCGTGAGATTTTGGAGCGGAAGGCTACTGCACATCCTTTTGAAAATGTTCAATCTCTGTTGCCGCCAAATTCATGGCTGGAATTATATCCTGTTCCTGGTAACTTTGACTTCCTAAAGTTATTTCAATGTTTAGCTTCTAAAAAGGAAATAGTAGAATGAGCACTCTGATATGGAGGGTACACTTTTATGTGTCCGTTTTCTCTTAATCTTTTTTTGGTAATGCTTGGTTGAAGTTTTTGCAGTAAGAGTACATTTCATCTTTTTTTTTTTTTAAATAACAAATTTAAGGATGTGAGTTGCAGCAGTGGTATGGTATTTTGAGGTTAAGTGGCATTTGGCAGGATCCTTGGAGGATGACATGTTTTCCTTTCCTTTAGCATTAGGGTTTATGGTTTAGAGGTTAAAAGTTAATGTTACAGTTTGATCCATTAAGTTGATTCTATTGTTTGTGCTGTTGTCAGATCACAAACGCGATGCTGCCAGGTCGGAGGATGCATTGACTCTTTCATATGGGAGTGAGTTGATTGGCATGCAAAGAGATTGGAATGAAGAATTGCAGTCTTGTCGAGAATTTCCACATACAACTCCTCAAGAAAGGTACATAATACCATCAACCTCCTTATAATTAATATTCTGGAATGTTTATAACTCCTAATTGTCAATTTTTTTTTTTTTTGAAGAACCTAATTAGTTTTTAGCTTTACAGTTCTTATTATCTAACAATTAGCAAGTAATAAAAATTATTTATTATATTTTCTTTGTAATATAAAATGTTGGAATGTCTAGCTGCATGTATGTAATCATTGTAGTGCTTATTATTCACCTTGATAACAATATATTAGGTGTGAATAACATTTTTTATATGCTTATGCACTCTAATAGATACATACTGGACCAAAAATTCAGATTTAACATGTCATACCGAAAGGAAATTTAGTGTTTTTAATCTGATACAAGTTAACTGTTGTGATCTTGAGATAATAAGGCCCAAAATTTAGAATTAATGTGTTATTGAAGGGAAATTAAGAAGTTTCATCCCATACTTGTTCCATATGTTGTAATCTTAAGGCTAAGGACTGCAAAATAAATTAACCTAGCATGTTTTCTTTTGAAGGTTGCAAAGTATGAAAGGCAGTATTTTATAGTTTGAAGTTAAAATTAGCATATCATGGGTGATATTGTTCTTTTATCCATGCGCATGCATTCCACTGATTCACAGCTTTAAGCTGTTGGCAATCTTTGTAGAGTTTCTGCTTATTATGGAGATAATTTTGTTGCAGGATCCTGCGAGATAGGGCTCTTTATAAAGTAACATCAGACTTTGTTGATGCAGCAATTAGTGGTGCTGTTGGAGTCATCAACAGATGTATACCACCCATAAATCCAACTGATCCAGAGTGCTTTCACATGTTAGTTTTCCATAAAAGAACTCCGCATTTGTTTGTAATTTTTTATCTCAATTGGGATTTGCAGGATGCTTTGCAAACAGTGTTGTTTCATGCATTGCCCTTCAAAACAGTAGTTATTGATGGTTTCTCCGAGGAGTGATGCCATCCCATTTCACCTTGAATCTCTTCATTTTTTTATATTGTTTGAAGGTTCTTAGTCTTAGGCTTCTCTTAGCAGTTTGTATATCATTTATTCTGTCCTCCATGTTCTGTCTCATAATTTTATTTCAGTCACATACATATTTATAATATGTACTCCTTTATTTTTTTCATTTTACTTTCTTATTTTTCCCTAAAATTGAGATAAACTTGGTATTAAGTTTTCTTTTTATTTCAGGTATGTTCACAACAACATATTCTTCAGTTTTGCTGTGGATGCGGATCTGGATCAATTGTCCAAGAAATGTGCAGTAGATACCAATTCAAATGATCAAAGCAGACATGAAGCCACTTTGTTTTGTTCATCTGAAAGGGTTGCTAATGAAATGTTGCATGGAGATAATAGCATGGGTTCAAATGGGGAAAGATGTGATGGATCAATTATAGGGGACAGTTATAGTGTAAAAGAATCAGCTCTAGGTTCTGTTGAGACATCATTGGCTGAGAGTGAACAGGCTACATATGCCTCTGCAAATAATGATTTGAAAGGCACAAAGGCATATCAGGAAGCTGATGTCGCTGGACTACATAACCTTGCCATGGCCATAATTGATTACAGGGGTCATAGAGTGGTGGCTCAGGTGAAGACACCTTTCTTTGCTATTTTAGGGAGAAGTTGTTTGCTGGAGTTGTGTTCCTTCTTCAGCCTAATTCCTCTTTCTTTTTTGTCTGTTTTTTATTTGCTCTTAAATTTTGTGACCCTATGCTTTTGCAGAGTGTCTTACCTGGCATTCTTCAAGGGGATAAATCAGATTCTCTCCTTTATGGATCCGTTGACAATGGCAAAAAAGTTTGCTGGAATGAAGATTTTCATTCAAAGGTGAGAAAATATGAAATTTTATGTTTCCTACTGAACATAAAATTGTCAGGTTCATGTGGCATGTTTGTGGAGTAATTGTCTCTTTTGGTAGAGCATCAATTTCTTTCAACTTGTATATTTCATTTTATTAAGTTTAAATTTCTTTGTCACATTCTTAAATACTTCGAAAAGAATTAATGTTCTTGTGGAGGGCGCTGACTTCTATGTTTCTTTAGGTACTAGAAGCTGCTAAACGCCTTCATTTGAAGGAACATACGGTATTTGATGCATCTGGAAATGTTTTCAAATTGGCTGCTCCAGTGGAATGCAAGGGCATTGTTGGCAGTGATGACAGGTGATTGAATTTTCTCGAGGTTTGCAAGTTAATGAGCTGTATTATATTTTAGTTTTCAATGGTTTAGACTTTATTATATTAAGATGAACTCACAATCTTCTCTTGATTTCCTTAGCATTTTTGTGATACCCATTTCGTTATGATTTCCTTATGACTTTTTGTTTTGACATTTCTAATTATCCAACTCTTTCTTTTGCTTTAGTGTTGCAATTTGCTAACTCTTCACCAACTTCATCCCATTTTTATTCATAGTCCTCTTGCTATTAGTTTCGTTTCCTTTAAGTTTGTAGTCATAGGAAACTTATCTACCTTACAGCCCTAATAGATAGTCACACATAGATGAGATTAGCTAATGGCATTCTATTTGAGGAATATTTCTCTTCTGAGAGAGATATATATTTTTATTATATGCGCTCAAAAATTTTGCATGTTTCAAGTTGTGCTTAGCCACATTGTCATCCTTGGCTTTCTTTTCTTTTCCATTTCCTTCTCCCTCTTAATTTCATTTTTGTATTAGGCATTATCTTCTGGATTTGATGAGAGCAACTCCTCGTGATGCAAATTATACTGGTCCTGGATCCCGATTCTGTATATTGAGACCAGAATTAATTACTGCCTTTTGCCAGGTAATATATTCTTACATTAACATCAATTTACAACTTGTTTGAATTGCTCAATATCTGATGTTGTCTTGCTTAATTGGAGAAGGCTCAAGCTGCAGAGGGCTCAAAATCTGAGCTTAATTCTGAGGGATTGGCTAATATGGCAACTGATTCTTCAAAGGTTGCTGGTGTTGAAGCACCAGTGGGTACAGAGGGCCATGAAGCTGCAACTTCTGATGACAATCAGGCAAGGCTCTCATAATGAGGATAGTTATCTAAGCTGTTGCATTTTTTTTCTATATACACTGTTTGGGTATATAAAGAACTCTCCTATACACTCTTTTTTTATTTGTTGTCATATTTGCCAATATACCCCCACAACTTTTTAAAAAGTGTCTTGAGTGTTCTTTGAGTTAGTCAAAGCATTATGTATTTTCTGCAAAGTTAAGTGGCAATTGGAATTCTTATGCATGTTATTGATCAGGTGGAAATTTTGAAATGGTTGTACGCATTTTATATCTATTTTTTCATTTTAAGTGGATTAAGGCATTGGTTGTGAATGGTAACATGCCCATGTAAGGTATGAATTTTGGGCATTGAATGTAAATGTTTAGTTATGATAAGTTCTATTATCTAATAACTTTGGCTGTAAAAAATATTTCAGACTGTTTAACATGTAAGATGTGACTGTGCTCGTGTGTCAAGTAATTTCTCTTCCTCTGACCACAGGGTGTAACCAAGGAAGATAAAAACAAGGCTGAAAAAGAATGCACTTCTGCATCTGTTAAAAGCTGTGAAACACATGAGATATTATTTAACCCCAATGTCTTTACCGAATTTAAATTGGCTGGGAGTCAAGAGGTGAGTTTCCTAGCCTGCAACTTTCCTTTCTTTACAATACTGCCAAAGCATGGATTCTCTTAGATCTTTTCCTTTGCGGACACCAGGAGATAGTAGCTGATGAAGAAAATGTGCGGAAAGCTAGTTCTTATCTTCTAGATGTTATACTTCCGAAGTTTATACAAGATCTTTGCACGCTGGAGGTTTCACCCATGGACGGCCAGACATTAACAGAAGCACTCCATGCACATGGAATTAACATTCGGTACATCGGAAAAGTAAGCTTTATGTGTTATATGTCAGTTGTTATTTGATAGTTTTGCTTTTTTGGCATTAGAAAATAAAAGCCAATGAGTGAATAGAAAATTTACCTTAGATCACAATTATAGATCCATTGAATTTGATATTTTTATTAGTCAATCAGGCATTTTAACACATAATTTTACAGGTTGCTAATGGGACCAAACATCTACCTCATCTATGGGATCTTTGTTCTAATGAGACTGTAGTCCGGTCAGCAAAGCACATCCTTAAGGTGAGATCATTTTCTTGTCTACGTAAACATCTATTCCTGTTTAGATGATGCCTTCTGCATTTTTTAAATTTCTATTGTCAAATTTTTATTTGGTAATGGTAATTGCGTCTCTTGCCATCCATTTCTGGTTATGCAGGATGTTTTGAGAGATACAGAGGATCATGATCTTGGACCGGCAGTCTCACATTTTTTGAACTGTTTCTTTGGAAGTTGCCAAGCGCTTACTGCAAAATTAACTTCTAGCATACAGTCCAAAAACCAAAAGAAAGTATGGTTAATCTAGATGACTTTCATCCCAAGTTACTTTAATGTAAACTGTTTTGCATGAGTTATAGCATACAATGTTTAGTGTGTCAATGATCCAAATCCATTTTTTTTTAAGGGGAAATAGTTGTTTACAAGCCTTAACTTGTAAATTTTGCACCTGTATTCTACAATGATGATAAATCTAGACTGGAATAGATTTCCTGAGTTCTGTATTTATGTTCAAAATATTTGCAGGAGCAAGCAAGTCATCAATCTTCAGGCAAGACGTCGAGGGGACATTCCAGATGGAAGGGAAAAGCTTCTGCAAGGAAGAATATTTCTTCTTATATGAATGTTAGCTCAGAAACTCTATGGTCTGACATTCAGAAATTTGCAAAACTGAAATATCAGGTATTAAGTTTTTTTTTTTTTTTTTTTGTATGGATATCCTATAAATCAGGTAGACCATTTCATCTGTAGGGAAGGGATACTATCGTATTATGAATGTCAGTTGCACATCCCTCTATTAGTGCCACATTGAAACAAGATATGTTAATCTGGGTTTTGTTTGATCTCTGAATATATTGTACATTCGCACATTACTTTATACTATATGTTTGCTGCTGTATTTTTCCTTCTGTAGTTTGAGTTGCCAGAGGATACAAGATTACGAGTGAAGAAAGTCTCTGTCTTGCGAAATCTATGTCAAAAGGTAATTAATGAGTTCTTTCAATTTGCTTTTTTTTATTTGACAAGTTGCTTCTTGTACATTTGTCCTTGTTATTTGTTGATGAATGATTGCTTCTATGCCAGTTTTTGCTCTGTGTAAAAGACCTTCAGAATTTTCTTATTTTTTTATTTGTTTACATAGCTGGTCCATCCTGTGATGGATTTTTCATAGGAGATGCATCTTGTGTCAGGAACAAAGTACATATTGTTGTTAGTGGTAGTTTCCATCATTATGCTTCTCTTTTTGAATTGTACTTGATGACATATGCTTGTCAGTTTGAAGGTGGGGTGATTCTAGCTTGGGCTACCTTACACAACCTTTGTAAACCTTCCACCCTTAATAATGTTAATTAATTTGTGCCAAATAATTTACACTGCAACTTTATATTATTCTTGAATTTTCTGATAATATGAAGCTAGATCTTCTAATGTGTCAACTGCTTACATGAATGGGTTTCTGATCTATACAGGTGGGAATTACTATTGCTGCTAGCAAGTATGATTTTAACACTGCAATACCTTTTCAAACGATAGATATTTTGAATCTCCAACCTGTAGTGAAGCATTCAGTACCTGTATGTTCAGAAGCTAAAGATCTTGTAGAGATGGGAAAGGTCCAATTAGCGGAAGTAAGCACTGTATTTCCTTTTTCATTCATAAACAATGAAGTATTATAAGTATGTTATGTAAGGAAAAGGGTCAAGTTTTCTGTAATTGCAAATGGGTTTATGGTTGAATTGTATTGGTTTAATTACATAGAATGTAAAATATTTATTATAACAAGTTGAATAAGCTGTTGTGTTTCAATGATTCTCTTAGGGCATGCTTACTGAAGCGTACACAATGTTTTCAGAGGCATTTTCAATTCTTCAACAGGTAAGTTAGGCCATTCCCTGCTGTTAAGAATTCTTAAATGTCTGTTTTTCATGATCTCCTCAATTGATTTCAGGTCACTGGGCCAATGCATCGGGAGGTTGCAAATTGCTGTCGGTAGTTATCACAACTCAAAACTTTTACTGATTTTTGTTTTCTAATCATTTTTTATCCTTAATATTTTAAATATTATATATATAATGGTACTTCGGGTTTTGTATATTTTGCTTTATGTACTTGAACAAACCATTGAGATAATTCACCATTTAAAGCAATTGTTGCATTATCCTTCAAAACTTAGACAATTTTTTTTAATATGGGTGGAGTGCTGACAATGTTCTGACCTCCAATCTTGTCTAAATAGTTTAACTTCCATATTTTCAGGTACCTTGCTATGGTCTTGTATCATGCAGGAGATATGGCTGGGGCCATAATGCAACAGCACAAAGAACTTATTATAAATGAACGTTGCTTGGGTTTGGACCACCCTGATACTGCTCATAGGCATGTGTTCTTTGCTCTATGTTCTTCATTTATATATAAAAATATTATGTATAATGGGTTCATTTGGTAATCTGGGTTTATCTCAATTGCTATTGCTATAATAGTATTATTAACTTTGTTTATAGAAAATTTTTACCCTTACCCTCTTTCATGGGTCTAATTCAACTTAATTTGCAACTATCCTGCTGCAGTTATGGCAATATGGCTCTCTTCTACCATGGCCTCAACCAGACAGAGCTAGCATTACGTCACATGTCCAGGGCATTGCTTTTGCTAAGCCTATCTTCTGGCCCGGATCATCCTGATGTTGCTGCAACTTTCATAAATGTTGCAATGATGTATCAAGATATTGGCAAAATGAACACAGCACTTCGTTATCTGCAAGAAGCCTTGAAAAAGAATGAAAGGCTGCTAGGCGAGGAACATATTCAAACAGCTGTATGCTATCATGCCCTTGCAATTGCATTCAATTGTATGGGTGCCTTCAAACTTTCTCACCAGGCATGTGTTTCTGGAAGAATAATATGTTTTCTATTACAAATAGGTTTAAATAAGATTCATTCAACTTATTATTGGTTTTGGTGCACAGCATGAAAAGAAAACCTATGACATTCTCGTAAAACAGCTTGGTGAGGAGGACTCAAGAACAAGAGACTCCCAGAATTGGGTGAAGACATTTAAGATTCGTGAGGTATGTGAATGGTCCTGCAATTATTGTGTGATATCAATCTATACTTAAGGGTCTGATTAGGTTGAAAAAGAATCTTAGTAAGAGTAACTCTATTTATATTTATTCTTTCTCGTTTCTGAAGTTGCTAATTTTGTATTGACAGATGAATGCTCAAAAGCAGAAAGGTCAAGCTTTAAATGCTGCTTCTGCTCAAAAGGCAATTGATATCTTGAAGGTAATTTAATCACCCTGATTTTCCTTCCTTACCTTTCACTTTGTCAGTTCGCTAAGGCAACTGCTATCAGAGCTTATTTAGAAAGCCTTTTCTAGCTTTAGACAGCCTCTTTTCGTGTTTTTGCTCCGGCTGCCCTTTTCAGCAAATTAATTTGTCAGATCTGAGAAAAACTGTGTTATTTCTTTGCTATATGGTTAGCCATCTGACATCTCCAATGAAGCATGGGTTCTCAACCTTTTTGTTTTCCTGATTCATGATTTGGCATGACAGGCCCATCCGGATATAATACATGCATTCCAAGCTGCTGCTGCAGCTGGAGGATCTGGGAGTTCCAGTGCTTCTTTCAACAAGTCCCTTAATGCAGCAATGATTGGCGAGACTCTACCTCGAGGAAGGGGATTTGATGAAAGAGCAGCTCGTGCAGCAGCAGAAATACGGAAGAAAGCTGCTGCTAGGGGTCTTGCAACTCGCTCACATGGGATACCAGTCCAAGCTGTGCCCCCATTAACTCAGCTCATTAACATGATCAACTTGGGGGTGACTCCAGAGGCAGGAGATGGTGAGGAAGCAGGAGAAAGGAGGGAAGCAAATGGCCATCATCCAAATGGTCCAGTTGATGCCAAAAAAGATGCATCAACGTCTAAGGAAGAAGAACAAGCGCCTGTTGGATTAGGCACGGGCCTCACTTCATTGGAGGCTAAAAAACAGAAAACGAAACCGAAAGTCACATCTTGAGATTTTGACTGGCAGGTTCTCAATATGTAACTGAGTCAATTTGAGGAATGTTTGCTATTTATAACGTTATCATTGGTACTCACTTGCAAGTCCCGAGAGCAGAATAAACTGGCTCAGAGATCATCTTTGTTGGTGAACATTGGGCCGCATCTTGTGCAAATAGGAACACTTTGAGCATTGTCAACGAGTTGTTCTACTAGTTTTGTTTTGGTCATTCGTTTTAGGCATGCGTGATTTTAAAATTATACTTGATATGGAAGTGTTTGCTATTCGAGTCTAATAAATGGCCCTCCTGAAAAATGAGCTTCCTCACAGTATTTTTTATATTTTTTTTGAGAGTATTTTTTATTTATATATTTTTTTTATTTGAGACTAGTCTTCGGTGAAAATGTGAGGTAAGGTTGTGTACATTAGATTCAGGAGTTAGGATCTTACATATAGCAAAAGTTTTATACACGGGTTATGTCATGGTCCTAGAGAGACACCAGTTTTATCTCCTACGCTCTCCGCAGGTTAGATTCGGTTTGACATCCACCTGCTGCCACTATATTAGATACTATATCACACGTTAGCTTTCGTTTGTCCTAATAGTTTCACGACACTCAAGCATGGCGAGGGGATCAGAGAGTAGCATCTGAAAAGTCATATTCAATTAAAGCCTATATCGATTGTGTATCAGACGGTTGTGTATTAGAGTTAGTTTTGAAATAAATATATTTACATCATTTGAAATTTGTAAGGTATTTTTTGTTGGATAAAATTATAAGATTTGAGATATTAAAATGTATAATATTTTATAAATTAAAATGAATCATGACATTTGATATTAGAATTAACTTTGAGATTGTAATGATATGCTATCAAAAATGATAAATCCTTGTTAACTCATTAAAGTAGGATATTGTAGAATCATGAATGGGGAATAACATGGTCCTAAAAATGAGTTATGAATTTTATATTAACTGTGTACTAAAATTAATTTTAAAATATAAATATGAAGTGTAAAAATAAACAATATATTATAAATTAATGTAAATCGTGACAAGTTGCCAGCTTTTTAGTAGTTGTAGGGCAGTTTCATTTTGGATCATCGGAAGTTGCAGTATTTGATATTTGATGAAGGGTTGTTCTTCCTTGAAGCTTGTTCACAGGAGGGTTTATACAATTTACATGTGTCCATTGATATTTATAGTGTTAATTTACTTTAATATCTTGGGGCATGCGACAACATTTTATATAATTAATAACTAGAGGAAAGAACAGAGTAGGCCAAGGTGACGAAAGCAAATTACTTTTTTTTTTTCATATCTTAATATATACTAATATTAATATAACCATATTACGTTAATAGTGATAATTTGAATAATAAAAACATAAATTTAAAATAATTATTTATAAAATATAATTTATGTCACAAACATAGTTATGTAAATTGATATGCATTTCACTTTTTTTTTTTAAATTACTAGAAAGTGTCTTTCAGAAAGGTGAACGAGGACAGTCACCAACAGAAGGAAAGAGGAAGAAAAGTTTGCTAACTATGCATAAATAAGAGCCAGCCAACTTGTTCTGGTAAATTAGATTATTTTCTTCACTATCACCCTACCAAGCAGAGGGTGGAGGAGATTACAAAAAAAAAAAAACTTTGAAGCAACCCATCACTAAAATTTGATTATGCACATCTCTGGGGTTAAACAAGTTTGGATTTTCACATCTGTTAAAAAAAAAAAAAAAAAACTGTTTACAGCTATCTACTACACCTCTCCCTTTCCCTATCTCCTGCGCAGGTCATTTACCCCCCTCCCCTTCCTAAAAGCGAAACAACTCCGTTTTTGTGAAACAAAAAATTCTGCTTAGCAAATATGGCTCAGATATAACCTCACATTTCAGCCTTCGCTAGAGTAGCAGTCATCTTCAAAGTGATATCACCATAAGGTTGTTCTTGTTGTACATCAACCAGTTCATAACTCTTCAAAACCTGCGTTTGGTCATGAATGTATATACTCTTCAGTTTTACGTGAATATGACAAGAAATTTTACTATCATTCAAAAGTAAACACATACATGGCCAAAACTTATACTTTGAGTAAAATCAAAGCTAATGAGCCACAATTTGGTGTTGCAAACAAAAAAGATAGAATCATATTAAACCACACACAGACAAAGTCTTTTAACTCCCTCATTCTTTCCCATTATCACATATTACACAAATTCCCAAAATTGCAAAGCATCAATTACCTATACAATGGACAACCGACAGTTCAAGGTACAGAATAAAACCAAGTGAAGACAAAGATAAGTAAACTTTGCCTAAATAAAAACAGCAACTGAAAATTTGATCATGCACAGCATTCATTCCAAACAAACATGGTTGAACTATGTTACATGGGAATTATAAAAATGATGCAGAAGCTCTAGTCTATGTAAGATTCAAACCTAATCAGAAAAAAAAAATCAAAATGGAGCAACCAAAACTTGACTATTTGGAATTGATTTGTATGAAAACAGGAATAGAAACAGAGAATTTAGCTGACAGCTAATTGAAATGCCTTAGAAACTTACCAATGTCTCAAAGAACATTCGAGCACATATTTTTCTTGTTTTCCCTTCTAAAATCTTGTTCAAACTGAGATCTCCATGAGAATCTTCTGAGAGTGGGCTTAAAGAGGAATAACTTTTCAAGTATTTAGCCACTGCCCTGCAAAGCAGCAATATAACCCAAAAAGTGAATCAGGTGAGTGGTAAAGCAGAAGGTAAAGATTCTTTCATTAATAAAGAAAAGGAAGTACCTTGTTCTCGGAGATAAGGAATCCACCCCTTGGCTTGCTATGGATTCTGCAACACAAGGTAATGATAAGAAAATCTCTAAACTTGAGACCTTGTATCTTTCTTATATGAATATGAACAAGATAATTGAAAGACACCACCATGTGCATAGAAACTAAAAGCGTACTCAACTTACCTGTCAGTGTATTACCATCTTCTTCCAAAAAATAAAGATCCTACAATACAATTCCTTGGTTAGAAGCATGACAAAGTAAGTAGATACAGGAAAAACAATTTTCTATGGCTACATTTATCACCATAAGTATTCCATAATCTGTATTATGAATCTCTTTATAAAGTGCTTTTCCTCTGCATAGGGTCAATTTTATTTGTCCAAACTCATGGCAATTGTTATTTTATATTAAGCAATCGTGCACACACTCTGGTGTTTGAAGCACAGCCACTTATGTTAAACTCTACGAATTTTCCTGACTCTTATTGCAAGGCAACAAACCACCAAGGCACACCAAAATGGACCATAAGAATAGGACAGCCCCTTAACTATAATGAATAACTATTTAAGAATAGGAGACATCATTAAAGCATTCAAGCAAAACATACCGCTTCAGAAGACCCAAATTCAGGAATAGCTGAAAATTCAGTGTTCCCCGGACATGATTGCTCCTCCAATGATGTCCTATGTGTATGAACCTTGGATCCGTGAGTTCCAGTAGATGGTGCAATATTTGGTGTGCTAGCTACTCCTGCCTTAGGGCCCAACTCTGATTCTAAACTGTTAGTTGAGAAAGGAGAGTCATCCCTTCTAAATGGAGAAGGCATGGATCCAGCTGGGAAAGACTCAAATTCAGGAAAAACATTGTCAGCCACATTGCTTTCATTACATCGAAGACGTTCAATTTCCATGTCAATTTCAGTTGCTGAAGCAGGAGAAAATTCAACTCTGGGATCTGGTACAGGGGTCCCAATCCTGAGCTCAGAGATAACTTCAGTTGTAGGAGCAGTAGACTCTGGTACTGTAGGTTCTGGGGCAACTTCCTGTGGCACCACCAACTGGGATTTTGTAGAGATATAGTCCCTTTTGAACATATTACATATATCTCCACACAACCCTGCAGGTATACAAGTACCATATTTCTATAAACCTATCTTTTGTATCAGATTTAAAACCAAACAGCAAGACAATATGAGCAAGCGAAACGTACCAGTTAACAAAGGCTCATTAAAAACCTGCTCTATTCTTCGATTGTTATTCCACTTCCATACACCCAAAGCAGAGCATGGAATTTTCCTTCTCTTCCTTACTAGATCACTACAATCTTCAAGCGCCCTCTTCATCAACCTTTCCATACATTCATATCAACAACCGGTACCAATAAAAAAGAAAAAAAGAAAAATGAAGAAAGAAGGGAGAGAAAGAGAGAGAAACACTATATCAATATACCTATTAGGTAAAACCAATTTCTCATCAAAGAACCTCCGCCGTGCTATTCGTCTCTGTCTTGGCTGCTGCTGTGGTGGGGATGGTTGAATGACAAGATGAGGTGATGCACACACTGAGAAAGAATAAAATCTACTATCACATAACCATTTTACTTAAAACAGAAAAGGACAATATTTATAGGCACCAATCGAATTTTCACAATGTGTACCCACCAAATGAAACGTCTGGAGGCCCATTTGAAGCAGAAACTGGTGGGTCCGAGTGCTGCTGAAAAGGCATAGACAACTCGCCAGAAGCTAAAATGTTCAAACTTGGAGTATGGATTTCCTTCTCATTCAGGACTTGCTCCAAAGAACCAGTCACTTCAGTTGGATTATTTCTGTGATCTGAACACACCGACAGGAGGTTTTGGGTGTAAAAGTCATGGGGAGCATCACGCATTGTTTCAATTTCTGGAAAATCTTGAGAACTTTCATTGGTAATAGACTCAAGTACTTGTGTCTGATTATTTGGTACAAGTTTTTCTTCTGCTGCACCATGTACTCCTGTGTGATTACTAGGACCTGGATCCTGAAAAGCAGCAATTACACTAGGCACTTGTATCTGATCGTGTGGAGCAGGATCTTGAAAACCCACATGACCATTCTCTGGAGGTTCATGAAGATTGCTATAATTGAAAAAAAAAAGAGAAAACAATATCATAAAAGTGAAAAAAGAAAACATTCATTGTTCATTGGTATTGAAAATGATTGAAAATGTAAATTTTAAAGACAAAATTAGGGGCTTACACTGTCATCGGTATGGACCTAGACTTGAGAAATGCTTCTGGAGGTGATGCATCCATCATGATATCCTGAACAATATATGTTTCGGATGATAAAAATGTAATTACAGTATCTTGAAACAATTGATAAATCAATGGTAAACTTCAATTTGCCAAGGGAAAAAAATGTCTTGCCTCATCAAAAGTTACAGCAACGTAAGCATCCCTCCCAACGGGAATTTGATCTGTTGAAAAGATAAAACACACGTTACATCATTGGCATTGGGACAGAAATAGTAAGATGAAAATAATTACTTCTTCAAAAAAAGTGGCAAATAACATTCAATTTCTATGTAGAACCTGTAAGTGTTATATCTTCTGGACTTGTGAGATGATTATCTGAAGCTCTACAAATGAAAGTTCACATATCAACATATTAATTAATATCCAGAGGCGCACAAAAACAGTAAAAAGGAATGAATTAATCCAAAAAGGCTTACCCTTCATAATACATATCACCATCCAATTCCATGGCATCAAGATCCAATGTCTCCGGCAAAGTGATAGATTGAACAGGTGCCTGTCTTGCATCCTCAGGCAAATTAACCTGTGTGGAAGTGAAGACCTTTCTTAACCCAATCAGGACGATATTGCAGTCATGGAAAAGATAATCAACTTTCTTAGAGTATATTCGAACAACGCCCAAAAGAAGGTGGCCTGACATTCTTAGTGCAATAGGAACTTCGGGGAACATGATGTGATCTGCATTCGGATGAGGATTGGGTTAACAAACAGCATTATTATATGCGGCTTGACACGCACAATGATTAAAGAAAATATATACTACAGCTCTTTTTAAAAAAAAAATTCGGTTTGAAGCTAATTTTTATGAGTTAAGTACTCATTGATGGTTGAATTATTCAAAATTGTGAAGTAAATGTACAACCAACAAATGACAGATTTTAAAAGAAAAAATCAACGAATAAAGGGAGCCAATTGGACAGTCATTGAACCAATGCCTTTTAATCTCTTATGATGGAAAAAAAAAAAAAAAAGGAAAAGAAAAAAGAACGGGGCCAAACCCAAACGTGATACCAATTAGCATTAGCAAGCAGTGGAAATGTTGAAATAAATGGCGAATTTACAGTTAAAAGGAAAAGAGAGAGGAAGACAGACCAACGGTGGAGGGGATATCGGTGGCGATGTACTGAGACTTCTTGAGGCGGTGCTGGAGATGAGCGGCGCACCACACTGTCCCGAGAGGGGCCTTACGAGACAAAAACGTATGCGAATAAAACATCTTTCTTTGCCCTTTTTAACAATTTCTATTCATTCAGATCTCAGAGAAAGACACAAAATGAAAGGAAGAAACTTTACTTCGCTCTTGCGTTAAAAGAGATCAGAGGCTTCTTAGGGGGTTTAGGGCTTAAACAAAAAAAAAAAAGGAGGGCGGGAAACGATATTCGCGGCAATTTAAGATTCCACCAAAATTTTTTGTGTTTTTTAAGAAAAAGGACTTCACTTCAATCGAGATTTACGGCTGTTGCCATTCCACAAAGTAGCCACTGCGTAAGGCAAGAAAAAAAATCAAAAAATTAAAAAATCGATTTAAAATTATATCGTTGGTTTGATTTAAATTGATTTATTTTATTTGATTCATATTAAATTTGAATATTAAATATATATAATTTAGATTAGATTTTAAATTAAAATAAAAAAAATTTAAAAAATATAATCAAATTATATATTTTTATTAATTTTTATACATGTTTTAAAAATTAAATTATATATTTTCATTAATTTATATATATAAACTAATTTAAATATATTAAAGTAATTTATAAAAAATTTAAAATTTTAAAATCAATGAATTAAATGATATAATTCATTTGAATTATATCAGTTTTTTAAAAAAAATTAATTCAAATTTAGATTAAATTTTAAATTTTTATAATATTATATATTATTTAAAAAAATCAAATTAAAACCGTTTCGTTTCACTTTTTTTAAATAAATGGTTGTTGACTCAGTAGTGGCTGCCTGCCAAAGTACCAATTTATTACCCGTTTAAGGTTTTTACTTTATTTATACATTACATCATATAGATGAGGAGGATGAGACGAAAAAAAAAATTTTTGGAAAATAAAATTTAGAATAAATAAGTTGTTTAATTTTTTAAGTTAAAATAAAATATATTGTATTTGATAGTTTAAGATAAATTATTGTAAATTGTATATTCAAAATGATTTTAATAAGTGACCATTAACATAACTTAAACTCAAAATTTTTTCATAAAAAAATATGAACTTTAATCAATTGAAACAATCATTTATTGGTGAGACAAAAAAATTTAGAAATTGGTAAAAAATCATTTTAGTACATAGTGTTTTAATCATCAGTAATGCATTTTCAGTCATAGATAATCGAATACTTATACATATCAGACTTTGATTCATACGAGTAATTTTGAAAAATAACAATCACGTTACGTGGACATCAAACATAATTTAATTAAATTTAATTTGATATTTTATTATAATCTTTGCTAAGACTAGGAGAAATTTTGATATATATTCTGGTGTCAATTATTGCACAATGCCATCACTTATGTAACTTACAAAACCTTTTTTTTTTTTCTCTCTTAATATTTATTTATTAAGGGTGTAAATACCATATTAATTTTTGTAAGTTATTTAAATTTGATTTGAATAAAATTTTAATTTAATTTAATTATTATCGAATTGATTTCAAGTAATTTGATTTATTAAATGAGTCGAATTTGAGTATTAAAATATCTTATTCGAGTAATTCGTGAAGTTAATTAAGTTTTTATATTTTAATTATTTTAAATTTACTATTTTACTTTTATGTATATTTATCAATAATAATTTAAGTTTGAATACAAATAATTGAGTTTGAAATAGAGAATAATAATCAAATCTTTTTTTATTCGATAAACAAGTTTAATTAAAATAAATTCGAGTAATTTAATTTTTATTTTAAGTCAAGTTTAAACTCAAAAATTAAAATTCGATCGAATTCAAATCGAATTTTAAGTGAAATTTAAACTCGAACTTTTCATTATATCAACCGACTCTATCGATTACAATTTTACTTTTTACTGCCTTAATTATGCTGATTTAGTCTTTCTTCTTCAATTTTAATAAATTTTTTATCACCAATTTTGATGAATTTTAATGCCGTAAGTCATTGTACTTTTATTACTAAAAACCATTGATAACTATGTTAAGATTTTACTTTTAAATTGGATGATATAAATGTTACAAACTCAATTAAGAATGAACAACATTCAACTGCAATTGCAATAAATTTCTGTCGCAAGAGGACCCGTTTATGGAAAAGTAAATACTATTTTTGATGGAACATTTGTTTAAATTCACACGAGAATTTCAGAAGTTGAGACAAACACTATATAGATCACAGTAAGCTAATTTCAGAAGTTGAGACAAATACTATATAGATCACAGTAAGCTATCTGTTCGAGCAAGCAACCTTTAGAAGAAATTGTTGGGTACAGATGGCAGCTTGCTTCGGAACCAGGGGTGCCGTAGATAATACAGACCAGCCAGCAGAGCCACCACTATGAATGGAGTTGCATAGAGCACCACAGCTGCGCAAAGACAAAATGCAATGAAAAGGCTGGTAGCTGGGGGGTCTCTCCAGCGACTGAAATCTCTCCCCTTGTGTTGCTATGTCACCTACAACCGTTTGAATCCTCCCTGCAATTCTTCATCTAGTTCATCAGGATTTACTGCTTGATCTGCCCATGAAAGTTTTGTATCCATGTGAGGTGGGTACCTTGGCCTAAACGCATAGTTCCATATTCCAGTAAGGTACTTGTACAAAAAAAGAGTCGGGAGAATCAACTCTGGATACCAAATCAGAATTAGAAACAAAACATGGACTAGAACAGATGTGATGGGGTTCTTCCAATTGCAAACATTGCCAAACCATCGACCAACAGAACTCGTACCAGAGAGAAGTGATATGATCCGGAAGAAATTAGCTTTGCTTCTTCTCATGCTCCACATGTGAGAGTCCACATCTAACATATATTTCAGCACCTCTTTTCTCAAAGGTGGCTCAGCTTGACCAAGCCGCATTGCAACAATATTCATGGCTCGGTATCCCAAATTGTCTACTTGGTTAACTGTGAGTAGATGTAAATAACGCATTTCAGGTAGCAAGGGGTGCCCATAAATCTATATCATGTTAGCAAGTGACAGAGTAGTAAATCAAACTGCTAGTTGGAGCTCGCCCATTTTCTTCACTCCATGTGGGTGTAAGACGAAAAGTGGATAAGAATGCGTATAAATCCGATGAGCTTCCAGGGTTGATAGCCGAATTCGTACCTCTCCAATTCGTGAATCTCGTGCTGCATTGCTTCGAGTTGGTTTCTCACCACCGCCCAAGTGGCTGTTGTCAAAAACTCCCAATGTTATCGCTGTGCATCGATCGTAAACTTCCCACGTATATTGCTCGTTCCATTTAGGATTGTAAGTGTCAAGAATGGTTCTGGTGCGAACCAACTTCTGACCATGCTTAGCCACGCAATAGGCATATGTGCTCATTGGGAGGAGCCCTTGTGCACCCAAAATGCCCACTTCTAGTATCCCAATTGGTTGTTTCCAAAGCTGCCTTGCTGTTGGTTGTTGATCACTAATGTACATTGTTGACTCATCAAGCACATGATATCCACCTTCAAGACAAACTCTCAGGTTAATCCCAATTGAAAACTTGAGCTCTTTCCTCCTATCAGTTTCTAGGACGCCAAAACCGTATCTATCGAGATTGAACCAGCCGGAATACACTGGATGGTGGTCTAGCCGCTTCTCAAATGCGCTGAGTGGTAGGCTTATCTTCCCTAACACATGCTCCTTTGAAGGGTCAACAGTGATCAAAAGATGTTCCTCAAAAACCTTTTTTTTTTAGTTGAACTTGAAACTGTTGAAGTGTTGATAAGACTTCCTCGCCTTTCTGACAGTGCTGGAGCAAGGGATTCTTACCCTGCCAGGGAAGTTTCCACCTAGAATAGCTTTCCTTCCATTTTAAGCAGAGACCTGGAGTGATTGGCGACTGTAGTCTTTGGTTTCATCAAAATCAAAGAAAAGTTTTTGATACCAAACAGGGTTTAGGTTTCTAGGAATGGTTTAACTCATGTATCTCAATTCTTTTTTATGTGTATAAGTTAGCGTGTAAATGTAAACCGTAGTATCGCATTTTAGTCTGTCTGTAAATTTGCATCGCGTAACCTCATTTCTAAGTTTCACCAATTTTGAAAAAACTATAAATCTTGATTAAAAATTCCACTATTAGTGAAATTTAAATCTTGAAAAACTAATTCAATGAAATTTAAAAACTCAACTCCGTTATCAGTGGGTGTGATAATATCTCAACTTTATTAACAACTATACACGTATAATAATGAGGTACATATATTCAGTGGAAAGAAAGAAATGACTGAAAAAAAGGCTATTCTGAAAATGAGGGGAAAAATTATCTTCCAATAAAGAATCAAAGAATGATAAACAATCATATATATTCTCATTACATGTGAGCATCTATCTTTCCTCGGGTACATTCATACACATGCAAACAGGGTGAAATATGCAAAGACAAAGTGTGAGTGCTTGCAAAAATGCGTGTGCAGGCTGCAGTCGCTCCTCAAAATGGTGCTCCAAAGAATCATCATTGCCCCAAAAATTATTCAACTTTTCAAAGGGCTCAAATTCAGGGTAGCATCAAGAATTCTCAATGAAGCAATCTGTTGTAATGTAAATATCATGCTATCATGTTGGAAACCATCAGTATCAAATCGAGTGGGTAAGTGTATTATTGCACATACATTCTGGAATTGGATACTTGGTTACATCCCTTCCAGCTTTGCTAGTCCTGAGTTCTGGCTGCCCCAAAGATTCATGGTGCAATTCCTTTATGATCCTGTTGAACTCTGCTTCGGGGAGTGAAGCGTTCAGAAAATAAGGGAGCATATGTCTTTTATTTGGAGTAATATACTTTTTATGCCCTGCATATGCCCTATTTCCCTGTATCAACAATCAACAATAAAATTTCAGTTTTAAAAGTAGCAGCAGAAGGAAAACATAGACATATTATAACTCAGGATTGACGTGAAAAGGGCAAAAGAAGGAAAAAGAACAGAGGGAGAATGTAAGATTGTTTTTTCATAGTTGAAGGTCCAAAGAACAAAAACTGGAAGCAACTGGGGAACTAATGCCAATAAAGACTATGGTGGCTACATACCTGAATTGCGTGACCCATATTTCCACCATGAGATGGCATGAAAACATCACTTTTCTCAGAAACTATATAGTCAATGGCAGCCATAAAAGAAGCCTTGTCAGCAAATGGTTCTAGTTCGCCAGGCAATGCAAGATCTTCCTTACTGTAGAAATGGGGAAATTCTTTGGTTAATGGTGACAAGGCTTCTTTACCACCCAGTGGTTGCCCTCCAGCCCAGTATATTTTTGCACTCCTTGGAGCCCCCAAAGCTTTAAGCAGCCTAAAGTATACAATAAAACAAGCACAACCGTCCAGTTCATAAGAAGATTGTTCAATACAAAATAGGTATCAAATGGAGCACATAGCATCTCACAACTTCAAATAAGAGAACTAGCTCTCACCTAGTTACTTCAAAAGCATTCAAGGGGCAGAGTCCTGCAAGTTTTCGCTCATGGTAAGTCATGTTTGATCTTGCAGTAAGAAGCTCAGGGCGTCTTATCCTTTCGTTATGGATTATTTCATCATATTCCTTGCTCAAGCCTGGAAGACAACCAGTCCTCACCCATACATCCTTCTCCATTCGAAGATGAAGAGCAAGGTAGGGTCCCTTGCTCTCCATTCTCTGAGTGATTTTGTTACCAAGTTCAAGGATTTGTGGAGCAAATCTTAATGCTTGAAATGCCACCTGATATAAAAGTATAAACAAATTAGAATATGCTAAATTTAGAATTGTATATAATTATAGAAGAAACAATAATAGATCAACAGAACTTGGTATAGAACAGGGTAAAAGTTCTCCAAACCACAGCGTGAAGTATGGACTTGACCTAGAAGCAAAGAGGGGGATTTTAAGTACCTTGCATCGAAGCTTTTGAAGATCAGGAGGAAGATCTTTAGAAAGCCTTGAATCCAGACCTCGTAAAAGCAAAACTCCTTCCCTATTTATCTTTTGCACAAAGAGAATCAAATTAATATGAGATTAAAAGAAGAAAAAATTGACAAGCAGTTCATATTCAATTTTTGCAACAAATCTAATTGAGCATAAGACTTTTTAACTCCTAATCTTTAACCTAATATGTTACAATTCTACTGAGAAGGCCCCTGTTCAACCACCAAAATCATTTGGCAAGTACAGGATTATAACCAGAAATAATATGGATGACAACAAGCATGAGTCTTAGTGGCCCCAAAAGCTAAGATGAAATTTTTGCAAGAACAGCAATTATTGATAGTGGTCAATCAACTAAGAACATGTATATAAGTGGGAATCAATTAGAACCTTCTCCAACTACCAAAATAGAAACCGCAATGTTAGCTCATGCATAATAACAACAACAATGAATTGGTGGGGCATGATTTACAGTCTAAACCGATAGACCTCCCAAATCTTCTTCTCATTACACAACCAAGCTTTAAGAGACATGAAATAACATAGAGGAAAGGGATTCATACCCGCTTAAGATAACGTGCACGTATCCATCGAGGCGAAACATGAAGTGGAGTCCGATTCTCCTCTACTGGCCTTCTCATTATATGTGTAGAAGGCAATGACGATAGTATACGCACATCGTCGGTAAGAACTCTCTTGAAATGGGCCAAATCGAATATATCAGAAAATTCACTGCAAGCAAAAGAAAAAAATCAGCCTAAACGAAATAAGAAACGGTTAATTAAACTAAAAAATGAAGCTTGAGTTGGGGAAATATATAATAATATGTAATCTAGAAGGATGAGAATTGAAGGAATGGGGGTTAAATAGATGACCCAAATCGGCAATAGAAGAGAGGCGGGAATGGTTTGTTACCTTTCATCACCCCAGATGACATTGACTTGCAAGATCGGAACGACTAAAGCAGCTCCAAGTATCCTAGCGATGACAACAGCATCCACAATCTGATTCCTTTGCTGATTCATGCCACCTGAAACCACCACCAGCAAATACTTGCTCCTGTCCTTCACAATGGCCTCACTTGCTCTTCTATACTCGGCACTGAAATACAAACACGGCCGGTAACTCATCCCATCAGGCTGCTTCCAAAACTCACTTTCCAAATGCGAACGAGTAGGAGGTTGACCGTTATTATTAGCAATAAAAAAGTCGTCCTTTTTACCAACTGTATCGATGTTTGAAGAAAAACCCAGATGCGGGTTTGATTGAGTTTGGAGACATGGGTAGGGAGAGAAGGGAATCAAAGTCTCAACATTCCATCCCAACCTGAACATGCCAACAAGGCCGACGAGAAAGAGAGCGAATAACCAAACCCTTGGGCTTCTGAACGAGTTATGGCCAAAAAAGAACCTATTTGAGTTCTTTTTCTTCGGAGAAACGAGGAGAGACTGGAGAGAAGAGGAGGAGAGAGAGTTGATTATCTGACATGGAACAGATATGTATGACTGCTTCCTGGCATTGCAGCTCTTCGATTTTGCCATTAAACACAAAAACTAAATCAAATGCTTTTCTTGTTTCTTGATTTAACCACTTTTTATCTATTAAAGTTTTTCTTCCACACAGAGAGACAGAGAGAGAGAGAGAAGGCAGCGGGAACGTGTTGTATGATCAATTCAGTACGCGTTCTTAAAAAGTGAGAAAATGAAAGAGAAATGCATTACTCGAGTTTCTAACATATATATGCCCATTGGTCAGAAGACGAGTAAAACGGTTGAAATATCGAACTCAATGAATTAATGATAATTATTAGTAATACTTGCTTGAGTTGAAAGTTTGGAAACAATAAAAAGAGATTAACTCAATGATTTTTTTTTCTTTTTAAAGTTTACATATGAATTTATAGTTTTTATTTACAGGACAAGTTATATTATACTTTATATTGCATGCTAGTAGTTGACACAATTGATCAGTTCATGATTTGTTTATTCAAAAGGCAAAATTCAATTTTTTTTCAAATCCTCCATGTATAACAAAGAAAAAGTTTACTAGTTCAAGGATGGGTTCATGTAACGGAAGCGGAAGGCATTCATAATTAAAGGTATAAATGATATATTAGTACTCGTAAGTTATTCGAGTTTGATTCGAAAAAAATTTGAATTCGGTTCAATTATTGTCGAGTCGAGCTCAAGCTCGAATAATTTGACTTATCGATCAAGTCGATTTTGAGTATTCTTATATCCGACTCAAGTAGTTTGTGAGTCTAATCAAGTTTTTATATTTAAATATATTTTTATTAATAAAATATTTCGAGTTTAAGTTCAAGCATAAATAATCAAACTCTTATCGAGTATAAGAATCGAACTTATTTTTATATATTAATCGAACTTAATCGAGTGAGTTCGAGTAATTCGAATTCGATCACAAATCGAACTCGAACTTAAAAAATAAAACTCGATCGAATTCAAGTCGAATAACGAACCTTGAATTATGAGTCAAGTTCGAGCTCGAGCTCGAACTTCTCACTATTCGACTCGACTCGATTATAATCTATTCATAATGTTATTGGGGTAATTTAAAAAGGGCAAATTATTGAGGGGGCCAAATTTAAAAAATATGTTATTAAGTGAAGAAGAGACTGGTGTCGTGATGTGGTGTGGCCAGGCTGTTCCAATAAACAAATTTGTAGTCAGTCAGCATGTGACCTGCCTGCCGCCATTCCACTGCCCCCTTGGCCCTTTGTCTCTGACCACTTTTTCCCATCTAGGCAGTAGACACCAGACAGCCTGTTTGCTTATTGCTTTGCGTTTACCTCATTCAATATTACAAGTTTCTTCGCTCTCTTCGGCTCTTGCCAATAATTTTCATTTCCCAATACTTCCTTCCTACTTAAATAATATGTTTTCGAAGGGTAAACTCTCATCGGCAGCGCCCAGCTGGCATGCACCACTGCACACGCTGGCACTTGTGCCACGTGGACATCTTCTCTCCCTTTTCTGTGGCTTTTGAGTTGTGGTCTCTTCTCTTCCTTCTCTATTCTTAAATACATCTATTATGCATTCAGTACTAGCATATAATAGTCGGAGTTAATTTTTATCCTTACGACCAGGAGAGGAAAGACTATAGGATCTGGATAGGAATACAAACTGTTAAGTGGGTATTTTCAGGCTTTTCAGATATGCATTATTAAAGCAAGGTTTTCAATATTGATGCTTATGACTTGATAGTTAAGTGATTAATGTTTGAAATCTCAATCATGAGTTGAGCTAGAACTAACTATAGCTATGATAATTAAGTGGATGACAAACCAATAGGAACAGGAAGAATGGGTAATTGGCTTTTGAGTTACGGCAGGTAATCGCCACCGGGTGGGGTGCAGTGCAGAGCAGAGGTTTGTACGGTCGGTTGTCCGCTAAAGTCTCCAAGACACTCAAAAAGGCTAATGGCTCCAGCTGTTGGCATATTATATGTCAGATTGGGTGCTGTTTCTTTCGTCCTGATCATTCATTGCCTAAAGTGCCCACTTTTCCACTTCTGTTCAATCATTCATGTCCTGTCCACTTTCGTTTTAATTTCTCTTCGGCATTTTTTTCCCCTTTTAAGAGTATTTTTCTTCTGAATTATGTATGATCACCATGACCGATTAACCATGTTAAATATTGGAAGCATAAACAGTCTCACAACAAAATTAAAAATATAAGAGGATTTTTATCTGTAAAAGAAACCATTCAGAGCCGGGTTTTCTTTCTTTTATTGGTATTGACTTTGATGTTGATGCCCTTCCAAAATAGTATTTTAAAATTCCATTTACAAAACGAAATATGGGTTTGGCATGCCACACTATATAAAACGACATTAATAATTAGTTAACCTTTCCTAATAATGCAGCCTAAATAAGATCGACTTACCAACCGCACAATATTGGATCTAAGTCTCATATTCTCCAGTCAAACAAGTTGGGCCAAATGCCCTTTCAATTTATTAGTAATAGTATTTGTTTTAGTTAGAATTTTTTAATCTTTCTTTTGGTTTTAAAGCCAACTATGATTAAGGGGATGTTTGTTTTTTATTCCATTTCTTATTTTCTATTTTCGTTTTTAATTTTTTAAAAAATTAAAAACAAAAACATGCTTGGTAAGTTGCTTTTGTTTTTTGTTTTTGAAATTTGAAAACAAAGCTTTGAAAATTATTAAAAATTAAAAACACAATGTTTTCAATTTTTTTAAAAAATAATTTGGTACTGTTATCATATCGGCATTATTCATATAAATTACAATTAAATTGCTACAGTAATATTATAATTATTTTATTAATAAAATAATATTTTTATTATATAAATAATATATTATATTAATAAATAAATAGTGTATTATTTGTTAATATAATATATGATATTAATAATATAATATTAATTAATATTATATTTATAAATAATATATCTATAAAAAATAATATTATATTAATGAATAATATGTTAATAATTATTATATTATTAATAATAAATGGTGTCTAAAAACTTTAACCACTTTTGCTTACACGTTTTGTTTTTATATTTCTAAAACAAAAACATTTTATCTAAACATGCTTTCAAATTCAATAAATTGAAAATAAAATGAAAATAAAATAAAACAAAATTTTAAAAAATATAAAACATAAAACATAAAATATACTTCAATATCAAACGGGGCCTAAATAAGCAAAGAAAGTGATTTTTTTTTTAAGGAAAAAGAACTAAACTATTTCACTAAAGATCAAATTTTGCTTAAAAAAATCATAGACAAATTGGTTTAATACATAAGTTCATTCAACTCATTTAGATTCATAAGTGAATAATTGAGTATATTATAAATAGAAGTAAATAATAAAATTTGATCAACCTAATTGATCATTGATCCTAAGACTAAAACTTCCTTGAAATTATGAAAAGTCAACATTTAAAATGATTAAAATACTAAATACACAATTAAATAAAAAATTATCAAATGAATTTTGCTAATAAATATCCTTAAATCACTTTTAAGTTTAGTTAAATTATAATTTATAAAAATATTTTATATTACATATAATAGTGATAATTAATTTGATAAATTTCAATACTTTTGAACAAATATTACCTAATGTAGTAATCTTAAAATTTTTATATAACAATAAATATTTTTCAATTTATATGATGGAGAAAATGAAGATGAAAGAAAATACAATGTTTCTCCTAATAAAAAAATCATATTAATTTTTAAAAAATTTGAAATAAATACATTTTTATATATTCTTTATTGAAATATCATATAGCACTAACATTATTTATCATAAGGAGAATATAGAACTATGCATAAATAGTCAATCTTTTATCTCATTTTTACTTACGATAATCTTTCATTAATGCTTCCATTGTTTGAATATAATTATATGCTTTACTAATTGAAAGGTTAATTTTTTTATTTGAAAATTTTTATTATACATAAAATTTTATTATATAAAAATATTAATATACGTAAATTTAAAAATTAAAATTAAATGAAATAAAGTCCTAACTTTAGTACTACATGTTTTCTTCTTAAGGATTCTAATTCTCATAATAACAAACTTGTTATATAGTACCTATACAATTTATAATGATTTTATTTTCAACATTAATAATGTAAATTTTCATTAATTAATGTAACTTTTTATAAACATATTCAAAAAATGGTTCCAATGATTTTTTATCACACTTAGAAAGAATTCACCATAAATAATATATCTTATTTTATTTGATAATTCTCTACTTAGAATAATTCACATTAGGTCTTTCAACCACCTAGATAACAAACAAAAAAAAAAACTAGCAATTTAATATAATTTAAAAATATTAAATCATCTTGAGATAGAAGTTAATCATATATATGCACAATAAGATAAAAAGTTGAGAGAAAATTAAATCACTTATTAACAATTCTTATGACAATTTGATGGTATCCAATCGAAAGTTATTGGTAGCTCTATCACCTCTTGAATCACCTAATTTTAAAGGTGGGAATTTCAATTGTAATATTTAATGAATTATATAGTATTAATTGTTGGTGGAGAGTGTGCAATTGATTTGCTTTTGATTTGAAATTATTTTTTGCTTATAAGAATAACAATCTTAATAATCTAAAAAAAAATTAATTATTGAGGTCAGAACATATTACAAAATCATTTCAAAGAACTAAAACTATTTAATTATGTTATCAATGACTAACACAATAAACATACAAAAAATAAAATCACTAATAGACATATATAATTAGCAAATCAATTAAAACAAAAGATTGTGCATGTCAAATTTCAAATCAATAAAAAATTTATGATGATAATAAAATTTCAACTGCTACTATACATTTAAAAAGATACTATTTTGAACCTAGATATAAACTCAAATAATTTATACAATCACCCAAAGCAAGTATGAGGTTCTAATCACTTCTATAAGAAAATTATCCCATAAAATATTTAGAAAAGTCAATATCATATAGTTAGGATAAAAATAATAGCAGATTATGATATTCGGGATCCAAATTATAAATTAGAGTTGGCCGCAAAATGCTCAAATTTTTAGTGTCATTCATTAGCACAAAAATTGATACATTTCAACCTAACATGCAATACACAGGAGGCAAACTACATATCATACCTTAACTACCTTAATTATGAGGGTGGTTTTATTTTCTTTTCTTTTAAAATCTAAATTAAATGATTATTAGGTGGTTGTCTTGTTCTTATCACTTCTAACAACTATAGCTTAACTGCTAACAACTCTTATAA